AATATATGTACATGAGTTCAAACTATCAGTAAAGTAAAACTAAGGAACAATCCTGTGAATGTGAGGTCTTTTACATGGGCCTAAATAAAGGGCTTCTATCAGTGAGGAACTCTAAAGTGTATTCATACTTCATGAGGTGATCCTAGCCCCAGAAACACAGCACCAATATCCCAGACCTAAACATTTCTCAGCTTCAAACAGGACCATTGTCCTGAAAGCAGAACCTGGAATGTGTTTCCACTGTTAAACTTACCAGACTAATAGAAAAGATGTACATTCGCATTAGAAAAAGGTTCATTGGGGATCACAAAGAAAAAACAGATAATGTCTCTGCTGCAGTTTTTCCTGACATTAAAATAGATCAAATATTTATTCTCTTTTTAAAAAACCTTTGAGAACCTATACATATCAAAAAGGATTAGAGTCCCTATTTTTATTTCTTCTGCAATAAAAAAACCCAGACCTGTCAGGAAATATCTGCAGGCCAATAGTTAGCACTTACGCAGTACCATTCCCTGACCTACACGTGCACATGTGCATGAGCACACACAGAGCCTTTGACAAAATCCCCTCACACAGAATTCCTCCCGCCCCCAGCCCAATGCACACACTCCAATCAAAAGAAATGGGAGCAGAAGTGCAGACAAGAATGGTTTGGCCACTGGCAAAATCAGTAGCTTTGAAGAGACTCTAACTTAAGAGTGGGAAGAAGAGAACATACTACAGCAAACAACTGTTAACAACTGTTACATATTACAGCAAACAAACTGTTAACGAGCTATTTCTGATAAGGCATAGATTGAAGCATGCATACTCAGACACAGTAAGAAAATCAGCTCAGACCAGAAAGTTCCCACCTTGTCCCAAGCAATTCTCCTTCCTGCCCAGATTTCTCCTTATTGCAAAGGTTTTGTTAATTTAACAAAAAGGCAGTCACTGCTGTCAGTGTTGTGACATTCTGTGTTGTGAAAGAGACTGTAAAAGCCTCACCAAGAAAGTGTGTCCATAAACATTTCTGTGAAATAATCAACTTACATATTTAGTTACAACAACTTCTAGGTCTACATTAACAATAAATCTGAGTGCAGTACTTCTTATGTATATGCTTAAAAAGGGAGGTACCTGAGATAGAACTGGATAAAGGCAAAACAAATTCAGGTCTTCTACATGATCTTTAAATTTAAGCCAAGATGCTCAAGGATGGATCTTTTTAAAACCCCACCAGTCAAGCAGCCACCCAAGCCCTGATTTCCAGGACTGCAAGTGAAATTTGTGGTACGCACCAGCATGCAGGACTGAAAAGTGCCGGTATGCCTCAGTCCTGCCGAGGAGTGTCTCTGGAGCCTGCTGCACCCACAGCTGAGTTGCTAACCACCACATCTGTCAGAGAACAGCCAACTTGAGCTTGCCTGCCTGAGGCTTAAAACTTGTAGCTTCTTACATAGACAGAAGCCTACAGTTATGCTTTCAAAACACCGCTGGACCTCAGTTTTCAATTGAAGCATAACTTCCAAAGAGAAATGGTGGAGCTGCAGAACTTCTCTTACACTAACTTTTGCAGGACATGGCAATTCAAGTAGTGTTCCATCCAGGTGCATGTAAAAAGAAGCTGCAGATGCAGCTGATCTGACGATCTGATGCTTAAGATCACCATACAACAACACTGATTTACTACACTAAATGTGTCATTTGTGCTACTTAATTCCCCAACCAGCAAAACTGTAGTCTCCAGCCTAGACACTAGGTTTGGAGTTGCTTGGATCCCCCGAGAGAATTCTAACATTAACATTTTCTTGCACTACCTATACATATATATATTCATCAAACCCAAGAAAAATTATGTATTAGAAACACTATTTATTAAAATTTTATTTTAAATTTCAAGAGCATAAGAGTAACACCTTACTAGAACTTCAGAGGAGCTCTACATTTGGAAAAAAAATAAATTCTGGCAAAAAGATTTAGTGTGAACTTATGGGAAAAAAAATAGAATATTAGCACTTTTACCCATCTTCTGGTCTTGGTGACAGTAAAAAAGGTTAATGCTATTCCCATAAGACAGTCTTTTACTACCACCTATTCTCAGCGGTTTCTGTCACTAACAGGAATTCCAGTGAATATCTGCTGCTTTAACAATTAGGATTGTATTAAGCTCTATCTAAAACTCATTTGCATTATTGATCTTTCTACTTCCAATAGACATATTCACATTTAACAATGAGTAATTAATATATATATTTTTTCAGTCAAAACAAACTGTATATGTTTTTGACAGCTTGCTACAGATATTCCCCCAAAAAGAGAGTACACCTTACTACCTACTACCTACCCAAGGTGCTGCTCCCTCTGCTTTTTGTAAAATTCCCAGTAATGTGAAACCTTAAAGGGTTGGACACAGTGGCTTTGGCATCCCTGTGATGACAAAGTACTTGAAAATTACAGCCTGAAAATACCATTCAGGTGCCTCAGCCTAAGCGCTTGTGTGAGGTGCCCAAAAAACAAACTTCCTTATCTCTAACTGGTGTGCAGTAGTAGAAATCTGATAACACATCATTTAAATGTACCCAATGCCCTCAGTTCTCTGAGATAATGCCTTCTGTGTCTGTGGACAGTGAGGAACACAAACAAAATGCTATGAAAGCACACCAAAATGATGCTCTGTTGTTGAACAGTGCTGCACAGAACTCAGGCAGCTGACATCCCACAGAAATACTCAAGAACATTCACTTTCTTTTAGGTATAGTGTCTACCTTGGTCAGTCAAAGCATCCTTTTAATTAAACTGAATTCACTTAATAAAGTGCAATGTTAACTAATAAAACACCAAAGGCTGAAATACTAGAAAATACTAATACATGTTAGCAAATGCAAAGCCTCCCCTCTTAGACAAAAAAGCTTTCTCTTGTCTGCCTATGGACCAACAGGACATATAATTGCAAGAACTTAAAAAATCTAATTGCAAGCACTTAAAAAATTTGGCAGTCATACAAACAGGTAAGTTGTTTTTCAACGTGATTCAAACACTCCTCTGATGTGATAAAAAAATTTATGTATTTAAGCTACCTGTATGAAGATCAAAAACAATGGGTCAAATAGAAAGTAGTCTGAAGAGAAATAGTAAGTGAAAACCTGCTTTGGCTCACTTCCACAAACCAACTTGCTGCTGCAACTAAAAAAAAAAAATCTCCAGCTGAAAACTAATAATTTAGTTTGGAAAAATCTGTTATTTTCAGCTCAGGTATATGCAACTTTAATAATTAATATATTTTCAGAATTTAATTTCCTTTCTACTGAAATAAGAGAAGCAGCATCTACAATTTTTCTACCCATTTCAAACAATCATTTTCACTAGGAGTAGAAAGCTTAGGAAGATATTATGAAAGGAGAATAAGAACATAGGAACCTCAATCTACTTGGGCATCATTTTCCATTAGGTGTATTCTTCTCAAGTGTTTGAATTGGATCTTCTTACCTGTCATTGTTACCACTTCCATACAGGTGGCCAAACTTCACAAGTTAATGCATCACCCTGCAACACTGGCTATGGACTAAAATACATTATATTAAAGATCCACATGTGTGTTAAGGAACATGCATGATGACCAGTTACAGAAGAAAAATCCACACTGCAGGTGTTGAATATGCTAAAGGACAATACTGTATACTATTAAAAATATTTACAGTTTTAGTAACATTTGTAAAGAAAGTGATACATTTATTCTTAGTAGCTTCAACTGGATAATTAAAATAGAAGTGCCCTTTACACAGGAATATTTCACATGCTTCAAACTATTTGTTTCTAAAAAGCAAGAAAAAGTGTGTGTAGAAAACTAACAAATGCCCCTTTCCAAGGTCACTCCCATTTTGAGGTAAGGTTTTATTTGCAAAACACTATTAAAAGTACTAAGTACTTCTACATGAAGTTTCTGTCAGTAAAAAAAAAAAATCTTCTCGACACTTAACAACAAAGATGACACTTTTTTCTTCATCTTGGTCTATAGAATATACAGCTTCTATTTTTATTTTTCTTCTAAAAAAGATTGAATAGAGTGAAGGAAAGGAGATCAGCAATAGCTATTAAATTCCAATCCTTCTCTCAGCTGAGAATTAACAATACTACTACCACAATAAAGCTAACCCAGAAATAAATCTAACAGTGGAATGACTAGAAAAGCAGCCATGCCAACGATACTTGCTCACTGTCAAGAAATAAAATATGTGTATTCCTATGAATCAGCTGTCCTTTGTCCAGGGCCATGCTTTCAAAAAGTGACAGTCCCTTTCATTAATACCACTCTAAAATTAAAGACCTTGTCATTAATACCACTCTGATTACCCCTCAGCAATGAATAGCTGAGAGTTAATCAAAGTTAAAAGGAAAGTTAAAAGAAAGGGCTGGATATCTGAACAGACAATGGGATGGAGCCCTTAAGATGCCAGGCCCTTCTGAACAATATACATTGAGAAAATGTAACCAAAATCATAAAGCTTGGTAGAACTGGGCCACAGTACCTAGCACCTTACAGGACCAACCCCAGTGACTGGAAAGTTGCGTTGAATACAAAATGATAAAGAAAATCAAACATCATAGGCTTATTTATTTATTACTACATGGTTCAGTGCATGGCAGCCACTAGGCAGTGGTCATACAACAGTTTCCTGGCATGGAGCTTGGAGGTGAGCCTGTTATCTGAGTCAAAGCTCTTTGGCCCACAATTTTGGCCCTCATGGCATATCCCATGCCTGAAGGAATGCTTTAAAAAATTATTTATGCTCTTGCTACAAAAAAGCAAGACAGCTTCACAGTTCCATGAATTTGCTAAGAGTTTACAAGTGAAGATAAAATCTTAAAAAACATAAATTTTAAGCAGATGCTTTAAGGTTCACATCAACAACAATGCCTTTTTTTTTTTTTTTTTTAAACTGTTTTCAATTAATCTTACGCAACAAATGAATAATGCAAGCATGCCATCATAAAGCAACCAGTAACACACCCAGAACTTGATAATGACAGTTTGGAATTTATTAATTTAAATCCCCCATTGTAACACAAGAGCAGTAACAAAATAGCTGTACACTACTTCTGTTACAAATATAGATACTATTTAAAGTGACTTTACATACTCTAATGTAGGCATTTCTTACTCTACACAAGGAATGAGTACTAAAGCAATTCAGTAACAGCAGCATCCAGTAATGGTACCAACTAGCTTACTGCATCTTAGCCTACCACAGTGTAAATTCTAGAATAGTTACAAAGACAAAGAGAGTGGAGGTTTTTTTTTGTTAATTCACTTACACATACCTATCAGTTTGTTAATACTATTTGACAGACACTCCTAATACTGCTTTAGTGACCCACTAAAATGAATGCTAGTCTTTTGTATTATCCCCTAATAATGGCCTGACCATTGCCTGCATTTTCAGTTCATACTTATCTTAAGTGATAGTTGAGATAGTGGCCTTGCTAAAATTCCATTTCTGCTAATTAACACAAAGCATCCTGCTGTTAAATAGCATACTAGTTTGACTGGTATCTTCCTTCCTCAAAAGACTCAGCTGAATTTTTCTGCAGGAAAATAAATAATGGGAAAAGCATGTTTTATCTGCCAGATTCCTAAGAGCATGGCAGGCAAAGGCAGGCAGGTTACAATCAGCTAAGTGTTTCATTGAGTGCAGTTTTTAGATATTTTTAGTGATGAGAAAGTGATGCATTTATTAACCATGCTGCTGATCAAAGAATAGCTCCACGGTTGCATTGTACTTACTGGACACTTTTATTAGTGCCTCTAAAATTAATATCCCCAAAATAATAGTTGTAGCTGTCAAAGCTCCTCTTCTGCTTATTACTGATGCAAGCCTTCACTGCTGTCTTACTACTCTCCTTCACTGTGAGGCATTTTCAGGTCTTTACCCATCCTCAACCCATCACTCCAGGTTGTATGCCTCCTTGATTCAAGGAGGACTCTACCTTTGCTCCTAATGATAATGGCAGCAACACAATTAACATCAACTCCTTTGACACTGGCAATATCCAGACATCTGCTTGCAGCTAAGCAGAGCTGCTCTGAGAGATTTGTTCACAGCTCTGACACAAGCAGCTTGCAGAAATATCTGCACTGACCTGTACATAGTCTAGCATGTTGGAATAGGACAACCTTTGCTGAGACACTTCATATCAAGAAAGTTGTTTTCACCCATACAGACTATAAAATATCCACATGTTAAAAGTCTAGTTCTTCTAATGCTGTAGTTGCTGGGCATTCTCAACCACCAGGAATAGTTTCCACTACTAATGTATTTTTCAGCCCTAAGCACAAGTCCCACAAAACCCACAAACAAAACAAACAAAAACCAAAACCACCATCACCACCACCCCTCCCCTGCCGACAACATAATGAAACCCTCAAACCTAAGCCAAGTGAAACACATTCTTCTTTTTTTTTTTTTTTCCGATACACCATGACTTAGTAAATTTAAACACACAAAAAGACAAGCAAAATAATCCACCCAAGTCACCAACCTAGTTCCTTCTACTTGAGCATTGTGAAACTATATGGCCATTGAACAGTTTAGGTTGAAAGAAACCTTAAAAATAATCTACTTCCAAAGAACCATCTAGCCTACTAACCATCTCCCTACAGATTACATACTTTTCTTCTGATCTCCCAATTCTCTGTCTTAGTAATACTTTCTTTCTTCAATAACTTTATTCCTGTTTTCAGACTACTGCTACCCATGTAACCCCTTGCTGACTTGGTAAATTTAACCTTTTTTGCAACATTATTCAAATATCCAAAGTCTCCTACCAAAACAGTTCAGTTTTCTTGTGTGGTTATTAATGAAAACATTATTTTTGTAATGACTTACTAATAGGAAAAATGTCCATGTGTTTCCATAGTTAACATAACTTCATCCCAGTGGTTTGACAGGAAGAGTACTTCTAATCTATATAAAAATATGGTTAAAGGTTACTTTTCTTCAGTGTTGTTACACATTCCTGTGAAGCTGAAAGAGCAAGAAGACTACAAACATTTTCATTCTCTTTTCTATGTGGAAAATAAACAATATTGTCTTATTGACCCTAACCCATCAGGCAGCCAGTTCATGACAATACAGTCAAAGTGACTGTTCCTTTTGTCCTTTTCAGAATAGCAACAGCTTCCTCATGGGTCACCCCTTCTAAACTCTGTCCATTCACAGCAATGATTTGATCCCCTCTCTTAAGGCGTCCATCTTCTGCTGCTGCACCCTGAAACGATAAAACAAGTAACTCATTTATTTTTCTTCCTGACACAGTTCTGAAAAATAGACCCCTTGCAACATTTTTGGTTTTCAGGGATACAAACAGAGCCAATTGTTGTGAAGACTGCTAATTTTGCAGTATGACCTGCCTGGTCTAAGTTCCACATCTAGAAATTTGATCTACGTGATTGTTTGGTTCCTTTAACCCTGTTTTTCCAGCTAGTGTAAGATTTAAACCCTAGTATTATATATATTATATATTTTCAAGACCTGGAGAACTTTTCACCATGTGGTTTATACTTTGATTTACCATAAAAATTTGGCATTCATGATTCCAGTTTTCTTTGACTCTCTGCTGTTTCCTAGTGCCATCCAAATTATCCAATCTAGGTCAGCATCTGAATTTCTCTGAAGGTCCAGTCTGAGTTCAATAAAACATTTCCCTCTATTACCTGAAGTAAATCTAAATATAAGGCAAGAGAGCTTTTTTTCTAAGTATTTACACAGTTCCAGTCTCGAGAGGTGGACAAGATTCTGTTAATAAGGTGAATCATATATATTTGGAAATTCTCGGTCTTCTGAAGATTGCAGCCATCAAATGCTGCAAGCACATTTTGATCAACCTTTGCACTAAAAAGGAAAAGCTGTAAGAAACTGTAACACTCTTTTGACTGCAAACCCAGGCCATGATTTAGAACAGTAACTGCAGTGAACTCATAAATGGATTGAATGAACAAATTTCCACCTACCTTTGCAAACACTGTCTTCACATAAATGGGCAAGTCTCCATGGGGACTGCCATAGCCACCCACAATACTAAAGCCAAGGCCATCTGGTCCTCTGTCCAGGGTAATGGTCTTGTACTGAGGAGGCCTGAGGAAAGGGAAAAGAGTATTTTGTCTGAACTTTGGATTTAGCACATAAAACACTCAACAAAAAACATTACTACTTTTAAGCTAACCAATACATTTCTCTTTCCACTATAACTACAAAAACTTCTCTTATAAAGAACTGGCTATTTCAGTTCATGTAAAACATTATAAACTACCTAATGCCTGTATTATTATATAAAAGTATCTATTTGAAATACACAGCTCAGGACATAGTTATGGCTGCTATGTGCCACCAACATTGCTCACTAGTGAAGTACAGAGACATTGCCAGTATCTCCAGATTCCATAGTATCTGCTTTAAAAATCCTGTAATGTCTTAAATTGCATCAAATAGTTTATGCTATTTAGGTTTAATTGCTTCTCTCCTAATAGATGATTGTGTATTTGTATGTATGTGTTTATTATACAGATCATTTATATGTATGTTTTCCCATATATACTTTGATAGTAAGAGATTTTGGAAATCTACTTTTCAAAGTAGGTATGTGTGGCTAAAGAATCCTTTTTCTCTTTCCCCATTCCTAAAAGAAAACAATGCCTCAGATTTATGAAAGAGCTTGATGCAAAACTTGTTTACAAGTTTTTTAGTGCAGAATACTAGAAGCAGTATACCTTGTATACCAGAAACATCTGACATTCCTGGTAGCCCAGCACTAGACTGCACACTATGGAAACAGAGGTACAACAGTGGAAAGAGAATTTCTACATGTATCAATTAATCCCAGCCACCCAATCTCAGTGAAACAATAGAGGCTGTAGAAGAAATCAGATCATATCACAACTCTACAGAGAGTCAAAAAAATTTGCAGCACAGCATCATGAAAAACACAGAAGAGGACCTATGGCTCACAGGTCCCATGTATACCGAATATGTTAATCATGATCAAGCCAAAAATGTCATCCATTATTTGCTAGAATTTTTAAGGTTTAGAGGTTGAGTATCAACTAAAGTAACAGGCTACAGAGGCTGTACATTCTATAGTTACTGACCCTAAATCATCCTGAAAAATGCCAGTTGAAGTTAGTCCTGCAAATGAAAGACTGGACATAGGTGGATCCTGCTGCTGACCAGTTATGACACTCACTTCTCCTCCAGCTACAACCTAGGAAGAGAGGTTGGAAATCAGTGATATAAGAATGCTGACACTAAAATAGTTTCATGTAGCAGCTGGAAAAACAGTATTCAGAAACTATTCAAAATGTCACTGAGGATTTTTTACCTGCAACTCAATAGTGCCTGAAGCATTTTTTAAGATATTAACAGCTTGGGAATGAGTCATGCCTTCGGTAGATGTTCCACAGATGCTAACAATCCTGTCCCCAACCTACAGAAGAAAATATAAAAAATCTAACTTAGTTGCATAGATTTATTTGTCACTTTCAACAATAGCAGAACTACAAAATGACCCAGTACGGAGGCAGGTAATTCAACATCAGAATTAGCAAATTACACCAGTTTAGTGTAACCAATGTAAAAAGTACTGATGCTTTACAGAATTGACCCTAAAACCCTAGAAATACACCTTAAAAAGCAGAGATGCATTTTGCATGGCATCTGAAGGCAGACAGACTGAAGTAACAAATTATCATCAGAGATTCTGCTTGACTTCATCTTCAAATAACATTTTCCGAGAAACTTGAGTCGAATTTAACCACCTTAGATGCAGATTGGATACAGCACCCATTTAAGTACAGATAAAATCTCGCACCCTAATGTACCCTAACGCAGAGCCTAAAATGTACTCTCTTTATCCTAAGCATGGGAAACGAGAGATAAAACAGACTGCACACCTTCCTTTGCAGGAATGACCACTACACTCAGCAGTGGCACTCATTTATAGAAAACATCCTTCTGAACAACTTTCTATGCTTTTAATTTTCACAAAATGACTAAGATCCAAGACTGCTTTGGGACCTCTTTTCTTAAGCTAGCACATGCATGCAGTTACACTTGCCCATGTTACCAATCTGAATTCCTTTTTCATCAATTCAAACAGCAATCCATAGCCAGAAGCACTTGTATCACTGAACTGCTTGTTTACTGCCTATCTAGAGTAATTACAGCGCATTACCCATGCACTCTTTACAGCCTTCTTAACAATTAACTTACTCTTAATTTCTGAGTCTGAGCAGCAACTCCATTTGGGTGCATCATGGCAATAAATATAGGAACATCTCCAAGAGGACTTCCTACACCTCCAGCAATGCTCACTCCTAGTGAATCTGCAGGGCTCTGTTATAGTAATGAAAAAAAAAAAAAGAGATTTTTCTGGAAAGAAAAACACAGAGAACTGTACGTTTACCTCAAAAGATCACTAAACCCCCTATTTTATGAAAATTAGAATTCCTGTGTCAAGCCAGTTTTTAAGCTTATATGCTTTGCCTCACTTCAAGAAAGCAGAGAAACCAGAATGGATGTTTCTTCCTCTCAGTGGTAGGTGAAAACTTGCTGATTTAGTTGAGTGTTTTATGTTAACCAAATTAAATAATTACAAAATTCAGCACCTGACTCTTAATGTCAGCACAGAAGTCTGAACAAGGAAAACCAATGAGATGGGATTGCTGACCATAGTATTGTCTATATGAACCTCCTATTACAAATGTCCTGAAGACTAGAATTAATCTTCATGCTCCCCCTAGTGCCCAAATGTTGAAGAGCAAAACCGGCTGTGTACCACTGCATTATGTACCAAATACCTCTCTGTAAAAACTGCTATTGCAAACTCGCATTTTGCAGATTCTACTGTAAAAAGAGAATGGCTGAATACAACCCATTTAATCAAGTGAACTATATGCCAAGCAAAGACAAATAAATATTTTGGAAAATATGATGTAGTTTGTGACTAAGCTCACATCCATAACGAAGGTGACTGAATTTCATACTTGGAAAACCTGGCAGCTGTCATGCAAGAACCTACTTCTTAAAAATAGGTGTGAAGAAGAATATCAAATACCAAAAAACAGTCTTCCAACTTTGATAAAATTCCCCTGACTTGACCAAAACAGAGTCTGCATTTAACTCTATCTAGTAACAATGAAATTAGGTCCCAATATCTCTTCCTTCTTTTGCTTTCAACACAACTCGCAAAACATGACAGCATAAGTCCCACTATTTACACGAAAATAGAGGCAGTGGAGATTGTACAGCCCTGAACTGGACAGACAAAGTAATTTCCTTTTCCTTTCCTAAAACAATGAATATGCCTAGACTTGCTTCATTCTGTAAAGACACCTATTGACAATATCTACAAAACATATTCCTGACACACAGCCACTGCATGCTACGACTTACCTTTTTTATTTCAACTGTTCTTAGTCCCTGTATTTCAGAAGCTGCTGTCAAATGAATTAAAATAAATTAGAAGAAAAGTTAAACTAGAATTCCTAGAAAACCTTTTCAATAAAGCTGTTCAAATCATGATGATCATTCTAACTTTCTGCTTGCTTGTTTTATACATTTTAATCTGCTCTTTGATAGTGGCTGCCATTACAATAATCAGACTGAAATACTTCTAGAATAGAAGAAAGAATCAACCATTTTCCCAATTGAAATAATTTTTGGAATAAGACTGCTAAGCATGCTCAAACAGAATAGTAAAAACCGATTATTTTCTAGAAATACTTTGATTAGAAATCACTGAACTGCTTTAAATTTAAGCATGAGACAGCAATTCCATATGTATCTTGATTTCTGTGAATGAGACAGCTTGTCATATGATGTATTTAGATTAAATTCAAAATTATGGCTTAAGATTGTCAATATCTAAACTGCTGACATAAGAAGTTGCTAGTTTCTTTTATAAAAAGCTACTACAAGACATATATGATGTACTGAGCAGTAATGGCTTCTACAGTGTTTTACTAAGGAATCACTTAGAGACCTACATCACATGGTTACAACATTTAAATAGAAAGATCTCAGCTACCAGCTCGCATCTATAAAATACTGAAAGCACCAAAAAACTCGCCAACTTACTGGTATTTTTCTTAATGCCACTTTCAAAGACCTCAGGTGCACCAGACCCAGTGACTGGGAAACTGAACGATGAGAGACTGCCACTTCCTTCACTGACCTACGCACAATGTTAGATGGAATTAGAGAGGAGCTTCACTGACCCAGCTACTTAAAGTGAAACTGTAACTCGCTGTACTCAGTTTATTTTCTGCAGTATTTTATTTTTTCTGTGCCCAGCTACAACTGAGTCAGAACTCCACAACTTTTTGATCACTGTAGATGGCTTTTTTGAAGCACCATTAGACCAACAGAGACCGTATTTCTACAACCCCATGCAAAGCTTTGAAGTGCTTCTTCTGAGGGCCCAACAAGGCCCTGGTATCTGAACTTTCTATCACCTTATAGAGGTCTTCTAATGCAAGTTAGCCACAAGTACCACAGTAAGGACACAATACAAAGATCTCAGTACATCCTCACGTGGGCTTTCAAATGTTCACCTACTGCATCAGCTGCAACTAAGATTAGGCACTCCACCCAACCTGACCCGCACAATTTCCAGAAAGATTTTTACTATACTTGAAGGGCAAGTAAAGGAACAACATGGTTCCTAGTAAGAATAGTTTCCTGACTGTGACACACTTTTCAAAACATTCAATACTGTGAACTTCATCTCAGAATAAGCCCAGCCAGAGTCTGCATTTTTTCATATTGTTTAGAAATATTAATTCTGAAGAGAGCTAAAATGTCAGTATTATCTGGTCTTAACCTGCTCACTTGAATTTTGATTATGTCTTAAAACTATTTATATTTAATACTTGATAATTTTCATCCCCAGTTCACAATCAATGAATGTTCTTAAGGTAATTTGTGAGCTTTCAGAACTAGCTCCTACTGGAAAGAATCACCATGCGAACTGCTACACCATGGAAGATGCTTTCAAATGCAGAAATTGATGTGAGGTTGTAACAATCTACCATCAGACCAACAATAATATAAATAAGAGAAGTCTGATGGAAAGAGCACAGATTTCCTGTTTCTAGTAGACATGGCTACAGTAAGTAAGGAATGGAGATATTCCCTAAGCTTACTGAAGCAATACTCAACTGGATGCCAACTACTCTGAAAGTAACTAAGAAGTTTAAAGTTGACGTTTAACTTCTTCTGGTACTGACAAGAATTGGAGCTCTCTATGTTTCCAGGCTGGAGCCTGGAGCAAAGTCATTTCTAGATTATATTTCTTGCTGGATCCTGTCTGTAACAGATACAATTTGCAAAACTGAACATATAAAGTGATTACTGAAAAGCTGCAAAATTTTTCCATCTTGGATCAGGTATGTGAAAAATAATTGTCATTATATAAACTGATCTTTTTATTTGCTTTCATTATTTAGCATTATTTCTCCTAAGCTAACCAGTTTTATAGTTACATACCTGGCTACTCTGGGATGTTCTCCTCTCAGAGTGAAATGGCCCAGCTTTTATTCTTCCAACCTCTAGTCTTACTGTACCTAAGGAACACTAAAAAACAGTTACTTGTAACACATGTCTTCTGTCTACAAGACTAAAACCTACAATATTTACATGAATTTCTAGAAGGTGGAAGAAGGAAAAAAAAAAAAAGAAACATGGACAGAGGGAAAAATGATGGACTACCAATCCTGGTACAAGCACTTTGCAGAGAGGGTTCAAGGCAGGACCAGTGACACAGACAAAGTACACCATAGTACTCAATATTGAGCAGGATAATTTTTTCAAAACTAGATTAATCAGTATTACAATGCAGACAAGAAAATTACAGAAGAAGACTAATTCTGTTACACTGGACTTAATAAGGAATAGCTTCTGAACTGCATGAAAACTAAAAACAGTGTAACACCCCGAAGTCTTAATCATTATTTCTCTTGATATGGTTGAGAACATGGTATTTAAACTGGAAGTTAGTTACTCATCTCTCTCTCAAATTTTTGAAATTATCTGTTACTCTGGATAAACACCAATATAACTAAGAAATTTTGGGCAGAAAATTTCCTAAACATCTATAGTTTAAGTAAACTTAAACTATATGGAGTGACTGCACATCGGAGGTCCTTTCACTAGCCCTTAAGATTTTAACCAGACTATTGAGCATTCACGTGCTTCATAAAATGAGTGTCTCAGGAGAAAATTCACCCTGCAATTAAATATTTAAAAATCAAGACATTATTATCTTGAAATAACAGAAAAGTTATTATCACAAGGCTAAGAAAATTAGACTTTCAACAAACAACAAGCAGTGTCAAGAGAAGACACCAATCTGCAATGTATTAATACAGAAATTTCAGTTTTGTTGCTATTTTGATTTTTTTCTTTCACTAGGAAGTTGTAAGTGCAAACTTCTGCATTCAAGAATTTAATAATACATGAGGTTGCCTTTATCATGTTTTAACTTTATTATCCTAAGAGAGATTCATGCATTTGTCAGAAAAATTCACAGTAATAGGCCAATATATCAAAACCAACCAGACATACCATTCAAACAAGGTTTCAATACCTCATATCCTATTGCTATTTTCTTAGGGGTGATGCTAAAAAAGATTTATTACTAAATCACTTTTTATTCTATAAATAATGTTGACTTCTCAATGTTCTGGAAGAGACTTGATCAAAGCTCAGTCAAAACCATTCTTCTTTGCTTGTATGGATTTAGTCATATTAAACCATATGGACAACTCTTATTTAAAGTGGAAAATTGAGGAAATACGTACCTAAAATAACCACATCCTCACAAATACAAAAACCCACAAATGAGATTTTAAAATTATGTGTGAAAGCAGGAGGTAATACTTTCCAGTGGAACTAGTGAATAAATCAATTCCCATTTAGTTTTATTACACCTTTCTCTCTCTTCCTAAATTCTTCCATTTGATAGATCCATTAAGTCTAGTGAGGGGAAAAGCTGATAGTCTTTTCACAAACTTTAGGGGATATTTCATTTGAAAACACTTCAAGAACAAGCAGAATTCTCAGACTGATGAGACATTCTATTCATCTCACTCTACTTAAAATACACTAGAATTTTCCAAAGATTATAAAATATTTTTCTAGCAAAATACATTTTAGACAGTTCAAGACAATTCACTCCTAGATCCTACTCTCATGAATGAAAACTGAATGGATACCTGAACAGGAAACAATGACTGCCTACCTGTGAGTGACCATGTTTTGTTCCATTTATACTATGTGAAAAAAACAATTATTAACAATAATCTGTCTAAGGTATTTTAAAAGCCCATTTCTCAGGGCTATGACAATTAACTACAAGTACTACTGAGCAATGATGAGATACTTAAAAGTTGAATATATGAATGGTAGGTGGAAGCTAAGCATCTTCAATTAGACACTCCAAAATGCTTCTCAAAATGAAAGAAACTTCCCACATGAAAAGGCATTTTTATTCAGAGGAGAGGTACAGCATACAAAGAACTGCTGTGTTCTTAAATAAAATTAAAAAACTATCATGTAAGAAGGGAAAAAAAAGTACTATATCCAAGGAAGAGTATACTAACAAGTTTACTGTCACAACATGGACCCTGCTCTGGCATTCTCACTAGTGGGGACATGCTAAAAATACAGAAGTCCTCCTATCTCTCTTTCTGACCACTGCGCTCCCCCAGGACCCCTGCTCCCCAATAAATCCAAAACTTAAGGACCTGTTAAAGATCTGGAAAAATATACCTTTGAATATGAGTGTTAAGAAGCATGGCCATGTGCCAATGTATTCAAGAGACAGCTATAATTAGCATCTGTTAAATTTTTTTCCAGTGAAACAGTTTTCCATTGAAAATCCTGACTCAGTGGAATCCTTACTTTAAAGCATGTCTCAAAACTCTGGACTGAAAAACAGACAAGCTGGTTGACCAGCTGAACTTCCTGCCAGACTGCAGGAAATACTGTATATCTGACTTCAGTCTGGTTTGGAAATAGGGGAAGGATATCAGAAACAAAACATTTATCAAAAATAGGTTGGCCCCAAGAGCTGTAGTGTAGTTACTTTGGTAAACTCTGAGAAAGCACATTACACCAAATGATTGGTCACTGAAAAATACATTGTAGTATTACACGGATGTAAGGTTGCACAAGACATATATAATAAAAAAAAAATAAATCAACGCCTCCTAATAGACCAGGTTACTCAGAGCCCCATCCAACCTGGCCTTGTACTCTTCCAGGGATGGGGAGCATCCACATCTTCTCTGGGCATCCTATTCTAGTGCCTCACCATCTTCATATTAAAGAATTTTTGCCTAACAACCGATCTAAACTTACTCTTTTGTTTAAAACCATTCCCTCTTGTCCTATCACTACAGGCCCTTGTAAACTAACTAGGATAGTTACTTTTTTGCACAACTACTCTGGTGAGTTCTCCATCATTCAAAGTCAGTTCTGCACATCTTTCTGAAAATATGAGACAGTTAACTGGCTATCAGTTTGTTGGACAAAATATAGTGTTAAGTTTCCGGTTGTTCTAGGTAACAACATTATATACAAGTCTTCTATAAGCCCTATGTTCATAAACATATGGCTTTCTGCACCACCACTACTCCCAGTTTTATCAGGCAAAGTATCTGAATACTCTAGATTTCAGGAAGCTTAAGTTTGGATCCTCAAGTCAGCTCATTAGTATCCCAGTAACAGTCAGATTTCAGTCTGAATAAAGTTAAAGCTTTGAAAAAATCTGGATCTCAGTTTTTCACTCTTATCCATCTTCTCTTTTCCCACTACCTTTAGTAAAGCTGCAACAGCCTCCTGGTTAGCATTTCGGACATCTTCTCCATTCACTGTCAAAATCTGGTCTCCTTGCATCAATCTGCCATCTGTATCTGCTATTCCTCCTTTGACGATGTCTGACACAAACACACCTGTGTCATTTCTGCAAGTACATACACAAATTTTGTATTACAGTATTGTTTGATGGTCATGTTTATGGCTTGCTATTAGGAACACAATAAACATTGTCTCATTTTTCTGCTGAGTGACACTGGCTTAGCTTCTCTAGGGAAGACTGGTTAGCCTAAGCACAAAAACGAGATGTATGGCCTTCAAGCCCACAAGATCTGAGCACCAGACCACAAAAGACACATGGTAAATAAGTTCCAGACACTGAATCTATAGGTACATTACATACCTTTTCCCAACAATACTCAGCCCAAGGCCTTTGCCAGGCTTCTTCTGGAGCTCTATATTCAGCACATCATACATGTCTTCCTCCTTGTACTGGGCTTCATCTCTGTACACAGTCAGACGAACTTTTTGGGGTGTCTGTCGGAGGACATTAATGGCTTCATCATGTGTGGCATTCCTGAGGTCAATTCCATTCACCTGAAATGAAAGCATACAATGATAAATCATGCAGCACCTTCCAGCAGACAAATACAAGAGGCTTAGCCAGCAATGAAAACAAAAGCAACCAAAGAAATCACCATACTTCTAGTATCTGATCGCCAGCCCACAGTCGTCCATCTTTAGATGCTGCTCCTTCTTCATACACTTCATGGATAATTATTGCTCCCTGTCAACAAAAACAACAAAATTGCATGTTGAAAGAACAGGCACCATTTTGAACCAAAAGTAACTGAAAATTGTTGCTATAATTCATCAGTGACAAGTCAGATGGAATGAAAGTCAGATGCATGATGAACAAATTACTGAAACATTTAAGAAGCTCATTTATACTTTCAATTTTAGAAAGGGCTTCTTATTTTTGTTTCTTTTTCATCTTTCTATAAATGCTATAGAAACAAATGACAAAAAAATCTCTTCTATCAGACTTTAATTTCATTAGGGTAATTTCACTTGAGTGACACATATTTTTCCAACCAACCAGCAAAGTGTCTGCTCCTCCAACAATGCTCAGACCAAGACCAGTCCGCCCTTTGGAGATATCAATGGTTGTTTCACATCCAGGAATGATGGGACAAGTAGCTGGGTCAGAGGTTAACATGGCTGGAGTTGAAGACCTGCTTGTGTCTAAAACAACAATGAAACATCCTGGTTACAGTAACAGAGTTCAGTATTATGAAAGTGACTTTAAAACTTTTCATTTTTTGCATTTTTCAGAGTTTACTGACAGATGTACAGCAATAGCTGAACAGCTGATCTACAAATAATGATTCTGCCAATTCTCCCTCCTCCTCAGAGAAGTACTATCCTGTAGTTTTATTTGCCATTCCTCCTGTAGTTTTTATTCCATCAAGTACATGGATTATAGTCTGGACAGCCAAAGTAGATACCGTACACAACATATTCTATTTAGGATAGAATTTAATTTAAGTGCCTATATGATATGTGCATTACTTGAGTTACTATTAACTTAGAAGTGCGCTGCTTAACCAATAACAATCACACATCAGAAACATCCTGACTTTCCACTCTGAAGGAGAAGAGACAAATGTAGCTACTCATAAATGGCAAGACAGTCTCAACCATCCTCTTTTTCCACAAAAACTGACATGACTTTTCTCCCTCATTTAAAGGAATGCCTTTCACTTAGTTCTAGACAACCATGACACCTTCTGTAGGTCTGACAGAGAAAATCCTTTCATCCTCCTGCCTCTACAACAGGAAGGCAAGAGGTAGGTCCTCAATATGGGGCACAATGTTCTATTTATATAACTATGTAATCAGAAAATGTTAGAAAATGCAGAAGATGCATTTTCTCAGTGCATACAAAAATGGAAAACTTACAAGCTGAGTCTTTGCTTTTATGTTACAACCCCAGAGAATACAGACACACAAGGATAAGATTACTTTTCACTGCTTCTGGTTCTGGTGAGCTGGAAGCGGGGACAGCTGCCAGTGGTTGCATATTCCTCTTCTCTGCTGGGACAGTACTGGGAGGGGCTGGTGCTGTAGTCAGGTTATCTGTCTCTGCTGGGTTGATTGCAAGCCTCACCACAGATTTGGATGTCTTCAGGAGACTAATAAACTGAATGACAGAGAGAAAAACCTATGAAAATTGTCACTGAGTTGTTCAGTTGCAAACCAAAAATAAAGCAGAATTAACAGTTCTGCAAACTGGGAGTACTAGGCACTATCCTGCAGATTTTCTCATAAGGAACAAACATGAATATTTTTTCTAAGAAATCTTTTTCCATGACCTGTACCAGACAAAAATACTGCAGTCTTTTAATGGCTTCCCTAGACAAAATATTATATTGTACAGCAGTGATTTGAGAAACAGAAGCATTGCCCTTTAATGCTGGGTGGAGACCAATTCTGGTCTCACAGAAGTCAATGCCAAAATATCTAGTGAACAAAAGAAATGTGCAACTGTCATTCTGAAAGAAAAACCTGAAAATACTACCTGAACTATAGAAGGGAGGGAAGGACACCAGGTGTAATGCAAGATCTAGTTCAAAAAGATACTAAAAGCCCTTCAAAATCAACCGATATCTTACAGAAAAGACATCCTCTTGAGACTCAACATTTCAGCAGAGATATTTTCAGAAATTACTTACTCAATCTCTGTTCTTACAAAACTTACCTCCTTACAGGCAACTCCACTATCTCTTACTTATTTACTGCCTCAGAGATAGCACTACATCAAAGAGTAAGATTGATGCTCTTCTAATTGCCCTTTAACAAACAGAAAGTAATACACTCATGGCTAAAGAATCACTTTTTTTGGTAGCAAGGCAGGTGCTAGAAGAAAGGCCTCCTTGATTTACTACTGAACCCAAATTGAGTTTGCAGAGCTAGAAGCTAGAAATAAATCTTGCTATTTAGGAATGGAGATATTTTTCTCTGAAGGTTTCAAATCGTATGCTTGGAATATAATGAGGCTGTTACTACAGTCAGTTCCCTTGGATAAGCACAGTTTGTTACTTGATTTACCACTGATAGAACTCACTCGTATAAATTTACGCGTATTAGTTTTACTGGTTCTAACACTTTTAACACTAGCTATGCAGAGTCACCATTGAGCAACAGATCACGGCTTTTATCCCACTACTAAGTGTCTCTCAGGCATCAGGTCTTAACCACAGGGAAAATAAAATCACATTCGAAGCAGATAGGAGGATTCATGTAGTGCATTAATGTAAAATAATAGTTGAGCTGTAAATTTAGGCTTTAGCTTATTTTGCAGTAGTTTCCTTACCCATTCACAGTGCCTGCAGATCTTTGTTTTTTTAGCCAGCTTTGAAAATTAAGTAAAGTATAGTCATGAGAACCTCACTAGTTTAAGACACAATCACCTCCTACATTAAGCAGTGTGCTTTCTGCAACATTCCTGACACTTCAGAAGCACCTTTTCTACAGGATATCCCACAACAATTTCATCATCCACTGCCAGAATCACATCTCCAACTTTGATACGACCATCCTGGAAAAACATAAAATAAAAAAATATGAACTACTGATGCTACTCCAAAAAGAATTCTTCATTCCCTAATCAGATTTAAATGCTCTCACACCTTTGCCGCTGCACCATGATCTGTTAAGCTTTTAATAACTACTCCATTAGTCGTGTCTTCCTCACTAATGGCAATTCCAAAGCCTCCTTGATCCTGGGGCAAACAGGAAAATGCAAATGGTTAAGTACTGTGACATTAAAATGCTACAAAACAATCCCTAAAGAACAGTGAAGCCTGCTGACATATTAAGTCTGGGATTTGACAATGCATCAATATTTTTGTTTTAAACTATTTCTGGAATAGATTCTGCCAACCTACAAACAGTACGCTGACTACCAAAATAAACCTGAAACACCTCTAAATTCAAACCCACTTCTTTGAATTTAAAAGTGTGATTCAGTTTTTACTTCAAACAATTAGGGCATTGACTCCACCTGAGGAGCCATCAGTAGATGGTTATAAAAAAGTTTGGCAAACAGAACAAGAGAATATACTTCTATAATACTTCTTCCAGAAACATAAAGCAATTGGCAAATCAAAACCTGTCCTGTAAGGAAATCTTTGGGGCCCAGTCCCAAACAGGAAGATCAGATCTCTAGAAATCTCTTTTCTGACTTCTAGTAATTAAGAGACTGTTTGCTGTAAGAGGGACAGCATTACAAAATTGAATGGATACTGAATAAAAATGTGATGAAAATTCAGTACATACCTTAGGAAGTTCCACATACTGAATGTTTTTACATGAACTCAAGTCAGAAAATGCACTCAGGTTTGCAACACTGATATCAATCTAAGGAAAAAAAGAAAATGCAACTGTAAGTGACTATATCCAACATTTTGCACATTTAAAGTGAATCTGCTCATTTTCTAGTTTCACTTAAACTTCTAAAATGCTATTGATTGGAAAATTAGACTTCATAGTATAGAAGTATATAAAATGAAACAAAATTGCTCACAACTGTACTAAATTTTGCAACTTTACTAAAATGTCACTTGCTTTTCTATGGGTTTCTTTCTCTTTCACTGTATTATTATTTTTATTGTATTACTGTGAGCAGACAGGGTCCTCCTCTATCCAGAACAATGCTAGTATATTGGTCAAATAAGAAAAACAAATGTTTGCTTTACCTCTTGGTGTTGAAGTGTCCCCGAAGTACACTGTGAAGCCTCTACTGACTTTGCAGGGCAAACAGCCATCTGATTTACTGCATCTTTGTTTCTGCAATATATTCAGTTAAATAATGCAGTAAGAAGGCAATAGTACCGCCCCATGTTTCTTAGGACAAGTTTAAGTCTGGTTCTTAGTTTCTGGCACTCACAATGCAAATACCGAAACTGAAAACTTCAAGACATATTTAACAAGCAGTAAGACTACTTTGGTGTTCAAAAGCACATCTATATTACCTAAATTAAAAATAACAAACACAGTGTAAAACTTCAGCACATTAAAAATTAAACCTTTTCAGCCAAACCTTTAACTACAACTTACCTGATAAAGATTACTTTAACTTTAGATGGTGCACATTTGATTATTGAAGAAGCATTCTGATGAGTCCTTCCATAAAGAATTTGGCCATTTATCTAGATAAGGAAAGGTAGCAAATTATTTATCAAAATATTTTAATTCCTTACACTTAAATAATTTTTTAAGCCTTCTAAAAATCCATGTAACTGACTAAAAAGCAACTGTATAAATAAAAAGAGAGTTATGTCCTACTTTTACTCTCTTCTTCCAGTAAAAATGTTCACTATAGTTTGACTTCAGACTAACACTGTCACAGTGCTAAAAATGTCATTCTCTGAGTTGCATTGGGTTGTCTTGGCACATCATCTATTTTCATTTGTCATTGATCACTTCATGACTGATGAGGTAACCAGGCAGGGCCATGGGAAATTCTAACCAATAACAAATAAATGAATTGCTTATATCCAGCAACGAGATTGCTATTATTTATTGAAACTCTGTCACTTCAAATCCCTGAGCCAGGCACTTTATACACAGAAGTCTGAACATGGGCACGTTTAGTGGAGTTTTAGACTAGATTTGATGAGGAAGGGGGAAAGGGGCTGTACTTCTGCATGTCAGAGTGGAACCGGGAAACACCAACACTTTAGGAAGCAGCAGGGAGACAACTGAAAACTGACCCTAATGAGCTAAGGAGACGTCCTCTCAAAAGGTGAAGAGGTTGATAATCCATCTCAAGTGCCTCTACGCCTACACAGGCAACATGGGTAACAAGCAAGAGGAAATGCAAACCAGTTCCTTGACTGCACCAGAATGGTGCAATTCAAAGCCTGTAATCTAGCTTCTCCCATAGAAACATGGTGGGATTAATCACACAACTGGAACATTTCAATCAAGGGCTACAACCTTCCCAAAAGACAAAAGCTGGGAAGAAGGGGCAGATGTACTGTGCTCTGTGTTAAGGAATTGATAGATTGTGAAGACCTGCTTCTGAGAAATGGCCACAAACAGCTCAGCAGCCTGTGGATAAAAATGAAGGACAGTATCAGTGACAATTTTCTGGCTGGGGTCCACCAGGTGGACCATCAGGTGTTCACCTGATCATGGTGAGCCTGTTGACAAAACTTCTTGCTTCAGATACTGAAATCATTGTGCTCGCAGGCTCTCGTCCTGATAGGGGATTTCAACCACCTGCATGTCTGCTGGGAAGTAATACAGCTGGCTGCAGGCAACCTAGAAGGCTCCTGGAGTGTACTGAGGACAACTTCCTGGTCCCAGTATTAAACAAACCAACCAGAGAACACTGATATTACCGGGCCCAGTGCTCACCACTGCAGATGAACTTATTAGAAAGATTGAGACTGGAGGCAGCCTCAGGTGTAGTGACCATGCCCTAGTTAAATCACTGGTCTCAAGAAACAAGGGCTTGAAAAAGAGCAGTCAGAAGTGACCCTGATCTATAGAATAATGGACTGTTAAATGAATTAGTGGATTAGTAGATTCTCTCAGAAACTGACTGTCCTTAGGGACAGAGGACCTCACCAGTGCTGGTACCTTTTTGAGGATACTCCATCCCATGTGTAAGAAATCAAGTTAGGCAAGCTGGAAACCAGCATGGCTAAACAAGGATCCTCTCCTCAAACTGTGGAATAAGAAAGAAATGCATAGCCATTGGAACTAGGGACAGATGAGCTGGGAAAAGTACATAGATATGATTTAGTTGTTTTACATTTAGGAATACTAAGCCACAGAAGAAAGGGGCTTTGGCAAGGGATGCAAAGAGTTATCAGAAGGGGTTCTATAAGGGGTCAGAAGAAAAGGCCAAGGAGAATGTACCTCCCTGGCAAACAAGAATGGACAGCTGGTGGCAATGGATATGGAGAAAGGTGAGTAACTCCAGAAGTCCTTCACCTCAGTCTTCAGTAACAGTCTGGCTTCTTACATCTCTCCAGTTACTAAACCTCTAGGTGAGGGCTGGGAGAAGCAGTCTCTCCCACTGTAAGCAAATAGCAAGCTGAGACCACTTGATGAAACAGGTGAATAGGCACAAGTCAATGGGGTTTGATGAGCTGGAATCCAGGTTCCTGAGGCAACTGGCTGATGCAGTTGCCAAGGCACTCTGCATCCTACTTAAGAAGTCACAGAGATCAGATAAAGTCCCCAGTGACTGGAAAAAAGAAAACATCTCTCTCATTTATTTAAAGTGGAGATAGGAAGATCTAGGAAACCACAGACCATTGAGCCTCATCTCTCTGCCTGGGAACATCATGAAGCAGATCTTCATGGAAGCAATGTTAAGGCACATAAAAGACAAGGAGGTGATCTGAGACAGCCAGCACAAGCCAGCACAATGACATCTACTTAAGCCTCTGTAAGGCCTTAGAAAAAGTTCCACTCAATGTCCTTATCTTCAAATTAGAGAGAGACAGATTTGAAGAGCGGACTGTGTGGTGGATAAGGAACTGGCTGGCTGGAGGCAGCCATAGAGTTGTGATCAATGACTTTGTGTCCAGTCAGCATTCTGCCCTGGGATCGGGGCTCTTTAATATCTTTATGAATTAAACAAACAAAGAAATCAAGTACACCCCCAGCAGATTTGCAGATGACACAAAGATAAGTGGTGTAGTTGACACAACATAAAGATGGGAAGCCATCTGGAGAGACCTGTGAAAACTTGTCAAGTGGGCCTGTGGGAATCTCATGAGGTGCAACAAGTCCAGTTACAAGGTCCTGCACCTGGCTGGGGCAATCCAAGACAAGAGTATGGACTGGGAACAGAAGTCATTGAGAGCAGCCCTATAGAGAAGGACTTTGAGATTCTTGAGAATGAAAATCTGGACATGAGCCAACACTCTAGGCTTACAGCCCAGAAGGCCAACAACATCCTGGGCTGCATCCAAAGAAATGTGACCACAAGATCAAGGGAGGGGACTCTCCCCCTATACTCTGCCCACGTGACACCCTACCTCAAGTACTGCATCGAGTTACTGAGTTCTCAGCACAAGAAAGATGTGGATCTGTCAGAGCAGCTGCACAGGAAGGCCATGAATATGATCAGAGGGCTGGAGCACCTCTCCTGTGAAGACAGGCTGAGAGAATTGTGGTTGTTTGACCAGGAGAGGACAAAGCTCTGGGGAGACCTCACTGCAGCTGTCCAGAATTTAAAGGGGGCTTAGAAGAGAAAGAAGAGTAACTTTTTAGTGGAGTGATAGGGATATGACAAGGGGCAATGGTTTTAAATTGAAAGAAGAAAGTTTTAAATTAGATGTCAGGAAAAGGCTCTCTACCCAGAGGATACTCCACACTTACTATTTGAAGATGTAACCTGGCAATCTGTTTTCCATTTGTCAGAGCAGACTAGTCACTATAATACCTTGAAGCACCTACGATTCAGATAGGAGAGGAACTTTCAGTGTGAAAAGACATTTGCAGACTATGGCAAATATTTGCTCACATTTTATTATGAATAATGAAAATGTAAAACCATGGTGCTGAAGTTAACTCAAGAAAAGAGAAATGATTGAAAAAGGACAATTTGAAAAGAGAAATGATTGAAAAAGGACAATTTGGACCTACATGAAGGGCAAGTAATAAAATGCACACAAGTAGCACTAACAGAAGCAGAGACACAGCAAAGCAACAGATGCAAGCACTGTACCGAGGGCTGAGCATAACACCAACTTCCTATGCAGGATGTGTGCACCAGGCACAGACACAGTGATACTGAGCCGTGTCATTTACACTGGAGTTCACAACCCAAATGGAGCACTCCCTGTGGTGTTTGCCACAGCCTTGTGAAAAATACATGGTCAGGCTGCCAAGTCGGGGGATGGGACATGGCCCTCAATAGCTGATGGACAGCTACTTGGGAATATAGGGAGCAAACTCCGATGTCTCTTCTCAGAAGATGTTGAGGAAATTTCTTAGTATGAGTCTGACAAGTTTACATTGTGGCCAGTAAGCAAGAAATCACAAGACAATAGATTCAGACGGATGTGTTTCAACATATTTTCAGAATATTCAACATCAGGATTTTAAAACAGATGTTTCAAGTGAGTGTATTCTCACAATACTGGAGTCTGCGACAAATTTTCCCCCAAGACCTGGTCCACAGTGGTGCCACAAACCCGTTAATTTCTTTCTTAGTCTGCAAGTTATATATATATATATATATATATAGCCTATATAATTTACTCAATCTCCCCCTCAAGCTTTGCTCAGATTCACCATTCCTGCTCTATACCACTTCCCCAGTACATCCTCAAACATCTCCACATTTAGCTTTGAAGTTACACAAAGTGTTTCTGTGAGGGTAATGTTACCTATTGCTATCAGAAAGAATGGGAAAAGCTATGGTAGGGAATACATCTCCAAGTATCATCAACTGGGCTGTGGGAATATAGAAACCCAAGTTATGCTCACATGTACCTGAAATGTTAGTTGCATGTTTAGTGGTTCAGTCACTCCACTCCACTAGAAAACAGCACCCAAACACATCATGAATTAGAAGTCCATAATAAAAATAGATCTGCTCCTGTTTCCCCAAATTAATTTCCACATTCTTACACAATTTAAAAATATTCTGCTATTATCACACTTTTAATAAGTAATAACAGAAGTAATTAGAAAGTCTGGAGTACTCCACAGATGGATGGACTGGAAGACTTCAGTATTTTTGACAATCTGCAATTCACTGTCATTCCATACATCTCAGTGACCCAGAAACTGCTCTAATCCCACATTTCTATTCAACATGCCTTCATTCAGAATTGCAAAATCTTCTGAGTTGGAAGGGACCTACAAGGATCATTGAGTCCAGCTCTTAAGTGAATGGTGCATACAGGAATCTAACCCACAACTTGGTGCTGTTACAACCATGAAAAAAAATGCTACACCTATTTGGCATACATCAGAAGGAAAATCTGATAGCATAGTGATATGAATTTGGATAAATCTGGGATTTCAAAGTCCACTGAAAAACATATATATTTCAGCAAGAATCTGGCATTTGAAGTCAGTACATTTGGGCTTCAGTATAAATTGCAAAAACTCACCTCTAGCAACTCATCTGCAATCTGTAATCTGCCATCTTTTCCAGCTGCTCCATTTGGATCAATTCCCACTACAAAGACACTCATCCTGGATCGGTCTTTGTTACCAGCAAGACTAAGTCCCAGACCTGTCTTTCCTTTTTCCAGCTCAATCATGTGTAGCTCCCCTGGTAGATTTCCATAGCGTTGCATGATCTTTTCTAAATGTAAAAGTGTGAGCAGCAGAGGTTGGATTTACATTAGAAAGTTTCACAAGTCACCTAGAGAGTCAAGATCAGTGCTCAGTGGGCAGGTTCTGACAGAAGAAGCCCAAAATGGATGATCAAATTTTCAGTGTAAACCACACCTTCTTTTAACTAAGACTTGGGTGATTTATAATAATATTTCTAGCTTCTTGTTTTTCTTGTAAATTCAGAAAACCTTATAACTTTTCTTAAAAAAGAATTCATACACAAAATAAGAAACTTTCTCCCCAGTAACACCTTCATGTAGCAGATACTATTACACTGATCACTGCCAACAGCTACCTGGAGTACACTGAAATTCTTCAAGTAGTTCCACATTAAATTTGGACCATGGAGAAAAAAAAAAAACAGATTGCAATGCAATGAAGAAAAAGAAATTAGTTTTATATTTTACTATGTGCATCTGACCAAGTCTGACTAAAGCACAACCTTAGCTCCCAAACCATGACACACATGAGAAAGAAGCAGTTCAAACTGGCTGCCCCCACACCTGTACCTTATATAGTGCAGTTTTTAACACTGAATGCTTCAAATATAATCACAGGAAAAACTTACTCCAGCTGTAACCAAACTCATCCTCCTTTTCCACATCTTCTGGGACTCTGATAGAAGATGACTGTGAAACATCACAGCACACTCCTGAAAATGCTGAAGGAGGGGGCAGAGGCAAGTTACAAGGCGAAGTCTTTTCTGGTTCTGTATCAGACTGGCCAAATGCCTGTGGAGAATAAGAAAAATCAAGTGGCTGAGAAGATGCAGGCTCTCTGTAGGGCAAACTAGTATACAAAAATATCAAAATGGCAATGACTATAGCTTCAAAGTTTCAATACCAAGCAGCCGAAACTCTAAATTAATAACAGTGCACAGAAAGACTGAGAGATCAAAGACAGAAACAAACACCAGGCAAGGTAAGAAAAAAACATCACTCCAAAATGTATCTGGAAGCAAACAACTCACAGTAAAAGCCCAATTCAGTAAAGTTTTATGTGCCACTTTATGTTTCAGAAAAAGCTTTCTATGAAGACTCAAGAGCTTTTATTTTAAGGCCAGATTTGTGAAAGACTTATAACCAATTTTATTTTTAAAAGTCATCACATATAATTTCCTTCCATCTTGGCTTAGGAAGCCAAATACAAGGAAAGAGAAAGTAAACAAAAAACTGGGAAGTTTCAAAAATACCCACAGGAAAAAAAACAACAACTGGCATATTAACTGAAAGTATAGTTAAAAATCAAAATTAAACAGATTATAACTGAAGAAATCCATAATGACTGATTTCAGTCTCATTTACTAGTTTCCTATAAGCTGCACAGAGAAGACTGAATAAAGGAGGATACAGGCTAAATCACAAGAGTCAAATACTTTTGGTCTTGATATGTTCTATCCATATTCACAAAAAGTTAAGAGGCATAAGTGCATGACTTCTGCAGTATAATGGTTAAATGCCCAAATCCACAGCCTTGCAAGCTTCCATTCACAACAGTTTCCTTGAGGAATATGGACTCAGAAAAGGGATTTCACTATGTGAAATTTGTATAATTTTGCCTTGCTTACAGTGAACATGTAAGCCAGAGACTTCTCTCTGAATATCATCATTCTTTAGCTAGTGCATGCCCAAGAGACCTAGATACTTGGCAGATCAGTTACTGATGTAAACAATAAGAATTTTAAATGAAAACCAAATATTTTTCCAACACTCAAGTTTTCAGGTGTGTTGCCCTAGTTTCATAACTTTATTCTCATCATTTCAGCTGTCACTACCTCCATCAGAAAGTTTGAACACAGTACTTCAGATGGTATCTTTTGGTGCCAAAATCATTCACATAATAACTCTTCATCAGAGGCAACAGTGAATAACAACATACACCTCAGAAGACTTTATCAGCTTTCAAATTGAAGGTGTTGAGAAACCTAGGAAGTTACCAGTTTAGTAATTTTGAAATTTAAGAAAGAATTAAGAATTAAGAATTCCCATGTCTAAACAAAAAATACTTTTCTTCCCTCTGTTACTCCAAAGGTGTAAAGATACTGCAAATGCCCTATTTCAGTTCTCTCAGTCTGCTTCTGCTCGAGAAAGATTTTCCTTTAATTTAGGAACTTGTTCTAGGAATTTAACTAAGAAGTCAATAAATGTCAAAGGTGTGGGAAGTGACATCCAGGCCAATAATTTTTTTAAAAAATACATATAAGTGTTATGTAATTTTTTGTATCATTAGTCACATTGCACCATGCTTCAAACCTAAGACAATGTCATCCTCCTAATATGATGCCTAACATCCCTAAATTAAAGCAACGAAATTCTAGCAAAGACACTGTCACCTATAAGAATCAGAGAAAAGCAGAAACACTACCTAGTAATATTAAAAGCTATTTTTCACAATGGAAAATTCATGTGTCTGCAAAAAGAGGAGTTGGTAATACGCCTCCACATTGAGGAGGGACAAAAGGGAGAGAAGCTGTAGAAACACTCTTTTGCCAGAGTACTCCCTAGATTTTTACTAAAGCTAAGTAATAGCCTGGAAAAATGAGGAAATACAGTGTTATGGTGAGTTGACCCTGGCTGGAAGCCAGGTGCCTATCAAAGCTGCTCTATCACTCCCTTCTTCAGCTGGACAGCGAAGAAAAAATATGAAAAAAGGTCACCCCATAGTTTCCCCAGCTACCATTATCTTGCAACACAAATCCAATCCAAGTGTGGGATCAAACCAGATCAGCAAAGCTTAGTTTTTATGTTTTAAAACCAAAATTAACATAAAACTTTAGAGGTACTGTTTGTAAGTGACAGTGTCCGAGAACAGCAAAATTTAAAGAAAACATGACAAAAAAAAGGAACAAAATCTTGGTATAAGGGACCTCTGGAAGATTTGTAAGGTGTGGATGTAGGGCCACATCCTGATAGATTAGTACTTAATAACAACTGTAGCCACCACAATATGACTGACAAAAAAATGCATCTTTTTGTACCATTGTGAACACATAACAACATAACATAATCTGAACATTTCTGAAGTTTAAGGAAATGCTGAAATGAAAGTCAAAGCAAGGCTCCTTTGTAGGAGGGCAAAAACTGTGCTACGAAGCCGCTTGAGGAGAGGGGAACACGTTCTGCCCGCAGAACTCAGCCCGACACATTTGAACAACCAGAAGCAGAAGCCAGTCCCCACAGTTTACACACACATAAGACTTTTGCTCCCTGAATCGGGCAACGCACAAAAAACCTAAAAGGCTTTAACTCATGAAATACTTTCAGTGTGCCACACCACAGTATTTCATTTAAAATGCAAAGCGTCCAACAGTTGCTGAACTGTCAGAGGGTCACTCCGATCACAGCCAAGCAAATACGGAAAATGGCAGCAAGTCTGTAACTTGAAAAAATGAAGGCACAGGCAGAAGAAGAAGAAGAAGAAGCAGTATTCCAGAAGTTATCACAGGCCATGTACAAATGTACAGCACACATACAGTAGGACCAGCTGACAGGAATTAAGACAAACCTTGAATGGTGTGGGAGCAAAAGGGTTAGTTGGGGAACAACGGAAGGTAACCCTAATTGGATTCGATACCTCCTACAGTAACAAAAAACAGCAATCCACATGTTATAGCACCTTTGACAATAGACAGTACTATTAACCAATAACTAATTTTCAGTTACAGATTCATTTTACTAACTGCAGCAACTTTATTAACCTGATTTATAAATGGAAAAAAGTATTTAAGGGCTTCCTAAGGACCCTGATTCATCAAAAGTTTCTCAGTATACATGAACCTGAGTTCAGAAAAGGCGAGAGATGACAAAAGGTCATTCTTATATCAATGCTAAAAAGGAAATTATGCATAAACTACAGGATTACCAGGTTTTCTTTTAAAATGCATGCAATTTTTTCAGAAATACTTTTGAAAACATAGGAAACATAACTCATCATTTATGTTACATGCCTACTCCCTTTCCTCCGAACTGTAACAAAGACAAAAAGAGATTTCAAAACACACATGCAATTACACACCACGTATCATATCGTGTTTGTTGCACATTCAGTATTTTCAACAACATGGGAAAATAGACAAAGGGCACAATCACTTCCAAGATGTAAAACCAGCTAGAAATTACTTTATTAAATCAAAAATGCATGCGTATTAGGATAAGGTTTTTTTGTTAGAGGTTAAGGCTGTTCCCATTGTGAACAACATGCAGTAAGTAAGCACTAGCCACAAAAGAAGTCTTTTTTTTGTATTTCCAAAGATGTCAGCATACTATTCATGGTGCATTAAAATAATTTTCAAGAAGCAGAGGGAAAAATATTTTCATGAAGCATCATACAAAAAAACACTGTCAGTTTGGTGCTTTTTTTTTTCTTTCATGCAAAAATAAAAGAGAGATATCAAAGCTGGAAAGTCAACCACAAAAAACCAAAAAGAAGTATATAGCAGTAAAACACCTTACACTGATGAGTCACACTTAGTTGGTATTTCAACATATACCTTAGGGACTGATCTTATAACTGAAAACTTACTCCTTTGGTAGCTCTGAATAGATCAGATTTAGTGGTTATGATTAATGGAGCTGACATTCTTTTAACTTCTCCATAACTTTTCTATGTATAAGCATGTCTATATCTTTTAAATTCACTACATAGAGTTCTTAAGCTCATCAGCATAGCACATAACCCAAAGTGGTATAGAAGAATTTAAACACAGAGAGACAGCAATGGGAAGGAAGCACATGTAGGATGTTTGCTGAGTGAAAAGATAATTGTGTCATCATCCAACCTTAGTAGTGTTGAACTGAGAAGAATCAGCAAATGGGTTAGTGCTGCTGAAGACAGCTGGCTTACTGAAAACACTGTTCTGCGGGACAGGCAGGGAAGGGTTCTAAAAGGAAAGCATAATAGCAACTAAGCAAAAAAAAAGTTTTAAATGAACCCTTTTCACTCACGAACCAAAACATGCACATTTAGCTGTTTGGGCTAACCAAACACTCTACATTCTATATTCCACATTCTACACTTGCAACAGATATGTGAAACTGGATAAAACTGTATTAGCCCTGTGTTTCTGATGCTCTTTCAGCAGAGAGGAAAAGCACCAATCCTCACACTTGTTCTAGACCATGAAGTACATCAAGTGCAGATGTAAACACAGCATTTATGTGCTTTGATATTCAAACAATTTTTTCCAAACAACTCAGCATATGGGACACCCTTACACATTAATTAATTGCAGAAATTGTGTACTTCTGGATTAGAATGAGCACCATTATCTGCAGTAACACAGTAAGTTTAGTTTCATTTTGAAAACCAGAGATCCTCAAAATTTGATTTAAGTTCTGCTGCAATACACTCACTGTTTATTTGTAAAAGAGAGGGCTTAGTAATATTAGGCATCTCTAAGCAGATTTCATATCTAATATAATAATATCTAACATCTAACTTTTGCATAACACTTTGTACATGTGCATATGCATGAGTAACTGCCTGAATTTATAGTTTATTAAATACTCTGGGTCTTCCCCCAGAGTAAGGTACTTTCTCATTATCATTTAACAGAAAAAGAGTTTACACATCTGGACTGAATAAAAGGATATAATTTCATCATTTATATTCACTATGCAGGTTTTTTTGCTATATTCTATTTTGAGATCAGAATCTGCTTAATAAGGAGGAAACAACTCTGATTTCAAATAGTATGTTGGAAATACACTGTATATAGTTAGAAGATTATATATATATATATATATATACACTATGCATACTTGGAAGTAATTTCTACACTGGGTGTATCCATCTTGCAATTACCTGTAAGTCTTAGGGCTGTAAGTTTAACACTGCTAGAAAATAGCATGGACAGGAATGTGAAAACCTTCCAGGATCATTTATATCAAGAGTAATTTAATCCAAAGATATGGTGCTGTTAAAAAAATTTCTTAAAGTATTTGTTTTTTAAATGCTCCTGAAAATAGCAAATACATCACTCAACATTTATTTTCAAATACCATTTGCAAAAAATTAATTCCATTTGGTAATGACAACAAATGTCTTGGCTCTACTGTATCTTCAGCAGTGACAAAGTAATGCCATTAATGACCAAGGTTTGTCGACCGTCAAGTCATTCAAAGTCACAGACTGTTTCCCTAGGATACAAGATCTTCTGCATACGTGATTCACATTTGATTTTGAATATTACAAAGAAAGGTTTGCAAAAAAATAAATTGTAACTAACTGTAATCATCCTATTACACTTTAACAATTACATGTCATCTTCATAGAATTTTAAAACGAATCTTGCTTAAATTTTAGGCAATTGAAATAAGCATCACAAACACTTCACATGTCAACAGTAAAATCCTAGTAAAACAAGAAACAAAAGTTCAGCTACAGTCATTCAAAATCTTGCCTTTTTTATTTTGTCATGATTGTATAGCTCCTAAAATACTAGCCCCAATATTAATCCATGAAACAGTATTGTATTAATATGGACTGACTACCACAATAAAATATGGAGCATTTGAATTTGTCTGAATAGTTCAGTTTAGCATACTTTTTGTGCAGTCTAGGACAAGAAGAGCAAATGCAAAAATAAAGGGAATTCTTTCCTTAACTGTTTTTTAAAGTTTGAATCAGAGCCTAAAGTAACAGGATTTTTTTCTGGTTTTTTCCTTTTTTCAACTAACTTCCATTCAGAATTTTATCAAAGTGTCCAAGATGCTAAGTTATCAGAAACTAGCTAGCATTTCATACAGCATAATGCTGTAACACTACTATAATCACAGTATATAACAGACAGTATAACACACAAAGATGTTCTTACTCAGAAATACACAGAGGGGTATTAGTATGAAACATAGACTTGATGGGTAACCCTTATTATCTAAACTATCACTATCTTTTCACAGACCACTTGTATTATTCAAGCTACTCTGGAGAACACACAGGCTCTCTTTTAACTACTAAACCTGCATGAAAAAACAAAAGGGAAGAAATGGACTCATTAGCTAAATGTCACTTAAAACTGACTGCTTGGTTAAATCATAGTGCTACCATAATAACTATAGCTTGTGTGTGCAGGCAGCTAGCTACTTGTGTGACTGAAATGAAAGCAAGAAATTCCCTTGTAAGATACTATTAAGTACAAATGCAAGTTTCAAAAGATGAAAATAATAAACATAATGCCATTTATGAAGATGACAACATAATGTATGGGTACAGGAAGAGCATTTGCAATGTTTCTGCTTACAGAGAAACAAGAGTTTGTTAGTACAGTCAAGAAATAACCAACAAGCTTAATTTGAAATAGAGAATAAAGAACTACAATCAAAAATAGCACAGGGACATTCTCTAAATAAAAGTAATGATAAAGTAATAGCATCATTTCCATCTCAAATGGGCCTAAACATTCAGTAGCAGCAATTCTGTTCACATCACAGCAAATGCAAAAGCGTTATTTTAATAGTTTGAGTGTCAATAATCAACATTCATGCAACTTTACCTTAGATGACTGACGATAAAATGGGTTAGTAGTTTTCTGCCCATAGGGAGCAGAAGCTGAAGAAGGGCTATAAAGAGACTCTGGCTGGGGAACAAGAGTTATGAGACAGCTAGTAAATAAACATGCAGCTTACACAGACTCTACAATGTGGAAGTTTAGTTTCTAGTGATGCAAGCAACTTATATTAAAGCTCAGTAGTTTTTGTCTGCAATGTCCATGCAGCTTAGTGTCAGAAAACTTCCGTGTACTTCTAAGTCCTTTCATTAATGTCCATAGAATTTTTTAACAGGTGCTGTATTTCTGCATGCGCTCCTCAGACACGCTGTCAATCTCTAACAGATGGTTTTAGTTAGACTCCTACTCTGCCCCCCAACAAATTATCTTTCTTGAGGCTTTTCAAAATAGTTTGAGGACGGCGTGCTGGAGGGTATCTCCAAATCCAAATCGATTTCATTCTAAATGGAAATAATACTTAAATCAAATCTTTGTTCCTAAAATAGTTGAGATGGCACTTTCAGGACTAAAAATATCCCATTCCCAAATACCACCATCTTGAACATTTGCTTCATCTATTACTATATATTACATCTCTTTTTACATTCTTTATGCTTACCCTTGGTCTGCTTATAATGCTCTGTACCATAAAGACTACAGGATTGCCTGCCTTCCGTATGGCTTCCACAGCTTGTTCATGGCTGGCATCTCTGAGGTCAATTCCATCCACCTGTAATTGGAAGGCCTCATCTTAACATTGCAAGAAGCTACAAAAGTCATGAGTCAGTTCTGAGTTTTGGTTAGGAAACTTTGACTAAAATCTAACCCCAAACCTCTGTTTCTAGTGGATCTTTCTACTGCCTCAAACACAGGTTTGATATTTCCAAGAGCACTGATAGGACATTAAATAAATATTCCCTTTTTCCTCTGTTTTAAAAACAGGTTTTTCAATATTTTACTTCAGACTCCTTAAGTTTTCCCGTAAGCAGTGTAACAGAAGACATATGATAATACAAAGACAGTAGTAGTGTATACTGCTTCCTGTAAATCCCACCTTAAGAAAAACCTATTACCCAGGACTTTAAGAGATTTACAAACTGAAACTTGTTAGGTGCTGGAGAGTCTTTCATGATGGGGTATTATGCCAGTAAAGTATATTTCTTTCTTTTGGTTGTTTGGTTTTTTTCTGTTTGCTTTTTTTTTAAAGCCAGGTAAGATCAATTTTAGCTACTAGACACTTTCTTCAGAAGTTAAATTTTTAGGTCAGAACTGAAAATCTTTCTATCTTCTGGAGGAATGCCTTTACACAGGATGCCTAAGGATAAATTTGTGGCTCGGTGGTTTTTACCATGTCTATATATGTACGGATGTATAAAACAATTTGTCCTGTTATCCAGGTAAGAACAATGTTAAGGTAAGGTTAGTATTGGTAAAGTATTGTCACAATGACCACAATAAAAGCTAGAAGCTAACACAGAAATGTTATTTGTTAGTGGCAATTCTAGCACACAAACTTATATGATGAGGATTACCCCTTCAGCTTTAATTGTCTAACTCTTAATCATCCAATGCAAATAAGAGAACACAAAAACAATCTGAGAGAAATTCTAAACCTATGAGGAACTGGACAAGAACAATAACACCCTTCAACTTTCCATGTCTGAAAAACTGTATGCACTACAGAGTTGGAAGTTTACATATGCCACAACTTGAGGAACTGAAACCCTCCACTCAGTAGCAACACAACATTTTGATTTCACTCACCTATTCCAGCTTCTGCAAGCATCACTGTTAGAGATGCACTCATAAAACTCCAGTCATTAAGGTGAAATGAATGTTTTTAACTTTGTGGCCTTCAAGCTCCCAACTTACACACTGCAACCTGTTCCATCCTGTTATAGAAAGTGCTACCTATACATATATTACATATATATATATACACACCTATATATATTATATATATGTAAGATATTATTTCAAGATCCTCAGTATTGATCTTGTAGCAAACAGCAAACTGCAGTTTCAGTACCACCATGTAAGTCAAGCCCAGTCTGAGCCAGAATCACCAATTCCATCACTCTGCTTCTTACTGATGGATAGTCAGCTAAGGACATCCAGCAGGGTTAAATCAAGGTAGTTCCTATTAGCCTGACAGTGGAGACAGGGCAATGTCTGACACTGATAAGAGGAAAAATCTGTTCCCTTATCTTTATTCTTCAATATCTTTAAGTGAGAAAGCAGAAGTGGCAGCAGAAGTACAGGACTAGCTAAGCAGAAGAGAAATGATGATAAATCCCGCCCTGCAATACCACTGGCTACATTACACTCAGGCATGGGCAAAATGTTCTTGATGTATCAAGTATCAAATACAGAATTCTTCATGAGAAAATTAATGTGCCTCCCTTAACTCCTGCACAAGATGCATAAGAATTATGTGAATCAATAAAGAATTAAGATGGAAATAATCTTGGCATTAATTTGCCTGGTTTGCACTGGCTGTTTCTATTGCTACCCAGTATGCAAAGGTGAAAAATCTTTTTTCATCAGACTTAAGCTTTTTCCTACACACTCTGGTTTTCAAATAGACAGATCAAACAGTTGGCTTTGTAGACCCCTGCTCACCCAGTCAAGTCATCTGTTTCAGGTTGGATAACTTAACAGGCAGCTGTCCACACACAAATATCAGCAGATGGTACTACACTCTGTGCAGCTCACGTGGTATCAGCTGTAGCAATTGCACAGCTGTCAGCCCACCACACATCCATCTCAGTGACTCCTGAGATGCTGGGGGAATTGCAACAAAAGGCATTCATGTAGTACCTCCACAATCCGATCTCCAGTTTTCAGTGTTCCATTTTTGCCAGCTGGGCTGTCTTCCAGGATGTGCTTGATAAAGATCCCTCTCATCACTTCTCCATTACTCAGGCGACTTCCCATCCCTCGTCCTCCAACAATGCTGATCCCCAGTGACTTGCTAGGCTCTCTCCAGAGTTCAACCCTTTTGTGACAAAAAAAGGACCAAACTAAATTAAAATCTGTTGTGATTATAACAAAGCTGCACACTGAAGACATCTGAATTTGCACAATTATTTTAAAAAATTATGAAATAACTCCTCCTTGCAAAGTTTCATCTTTCAGTAGAAATTATCTACTGGATTCATCAGAAATTCTGTAATAGAGTCTAGTATCGGTCACTTTGTTTCAGGTTCTAATAGAACTTTGAATCCTTCTCCTCATCTTTTTTGACTTGATCCATAAGAATCAGCTTGGAATAAGTAAAAATAAATTACTATAACAATAAAGACACTCCTAGACTGCGGGGATTTAGCCCAATGGCAGTGAAGGTCAACCATTAACCATTAACCATTGCAACACATGCAAGTGTAGCAATTCCATTGTTTTTTTCTCTTCTTAAAATATGTTTCAAAATTTTAGAATTTCAGATGATAATTTATAATGTGTAATTAGATCTGCACGTACTTCCTGGGCTGGTTCCAGTTACTGAAAGCTGCATTTTGAAGTTCACTTTCTTCTCCCTCCCCCTCTTCACGTTCTGGAAGCTCTGGGAGTTCCCTGATGATAAACAAGAACACACAATTTATTTCCAAAGAATCCACATAATCACTAGATTTTTCTGAAAAAATTCATATATTGAGTAACCCTGCCAATTTCAGAATTTGTACACCAGATTAATGTAAGGAACTTCGTTTTCTGATGTCTTTCATAATACATATTGTATTCAGGGATTCCCTGTCCTCTTTTTATCTGCAATGAAATATCCACAAGACAAAATAAAAGACTGCAATTTGGAACTAGAAACAAATCAAAATCAAAGGTAATTTATTGTTTCAAAATGGAATAAATTACAACACCAGCACTCAAGTAAGCTTACTGCTTTTGGAAATGAGTTGCAAAAAACCGATCCTTAATCACTTTGAAATTTTGGATGGTAACTGACCTGGATTTTTGAAACTCAAGGAAAAGAATGGCATAATTTATTTTTTCCATTTATGTTCTGGAAAGACCATCAATACCAAAAGTCTTATGTTGGAAGCACTCAGTATTTGTGGCAATCCATAAATCCAATTGCATAGTATTTAAGAGAAATTTAGGATGTGCAAGAATTCAATCTCCTTTTTGGACAGACCAAACAGCCTTGTAAAAATGCTTAAAAAATTGTTAGTCAAAGCAAAAACTGTATTTTTAACAGCTTTTTATTGTAGTGGTTGCTGGTCTGAAGAAAATCATCAATGTTTCATCTCTTCTAAAATAAAACTTATATTCCCAAAATGTGCAAGGTGTATGGAAAGAGTTACATTTGAGACCTATTTGGGAGAAAACTGTAAGCCTTTTAACTCACCTGACAATATGTGAAGGAAAAAGTTCAAGTGGCACAGCTCCCTCTGTCTGTTGTCCCAAACTGGCCCTGTACTCGTCTAAATTTTCTGCTGGCACATATGTAATACTGCAATAAAATGGGACATGATTAAACTAGCATAAAGAATGCCAGTCCTTCTTAGTGGGTCTGAGCTATGGATATGAGGAAGCCACTCAAGACTACTTTGTTGACTGCAAGGCCACAGTGGTATGTTGGGAATAAGCACTTAAACGAATCCTCTGCAACTTTTCAACAAGTACACATTTACAGTCAAATCAGGTAGCTGAACAGCACAAAATTTTTTGTAACTAAAGTAAATGGTGCTTGACAGTGACAAGAGACAATCCAGCTTCATTCAAAACACAGATTCCTCATGCAAAGATAAACATAGAAGTATCTGTGAGATTTGAAGCATCATTACCCTCAATGACGGCTGAAAAGGTTTCTGAAAGTTGGTCTGTAGGAGGTTTTGTGTTTTTCTGGGTGGTTTTGTATTTATTTTAGATTTCTACACTTTTAGTGAAGAATACCTCATGGGTTTGGATGTAAAAATGTATTACAGCACACCACCTATGCCACAGGGGCCAATCCCCTGCTCAGCTTTTTCCTCCAGGCCTTCATGCACCTCCAGCCAGTTTGGGACAGTAAGACAGTTGTGTTTTGTCAGCCAAATGATGTGCAGACTCCACCTGATGTTTGAATACCAGAAACAGAAATGGCCCAATAGACTGGGGAGAGTTAAATGAAGAGGGGAAAAAGATTAAGGCCTGAGGATTATTTCTTGAAAAGCTTCCATGTGGGAGACAAAAGGATATCACAGTATATACCATGATATAAACAGGGGCTTCATATATAGCGCTCCTTTAATGATGTGTTGTCTTAAAAATCTACAGCTTAGCTATCAGACTCAAGTAAAACAAGTAGGAAGGCTGATGGAAAAAAGGCAGAAAAAAGTCTCTCTTGCCATGTATCACATTGTTAAAAGAAAAAAATAACATATTTCCCCATGGAAGAGACAGGGCTAAAGAAAAGCCACTTCACAAGGATATGTAAGCTGCTGGGAAGTCTGAGGCTTTCGCATGGACCTGTCTCATGTCCATCATTCCTGACTGATGTCCTCTTAGTCACGTCCTGATTGCCACTAATGCCCCTTCCAGTAGTTTTTCAGCTGAGTACATCAAGAATCAGAAGAAATGCAAATAAACTTTTATACAACTAATAGTATTAGTCTAAAACATTCCACTAAAAGTTAATGTAAGGACCACCTTAATTTGTCCACCTATGTATGTGTCTAAGCATGTTTCCTACCTTCTTGCACGCCTACCATGTCTAGAAAAGTGCAAAAAGGGTCAGCTTGAATGTGTCTAGGATGCAGAACAGAAGAATCTTCCTAGTTCATTTAATGGAAATGTCTAAAACTGTATTACCGAAATTCATATCCATTCTAAAATCTTTATTATCACCAACTTTACCTTTGGCTTAAATCTCCCTGTTCTGCATTGGCCTGTTTTCAAACACATAAATGTTACTCCACTTGACACAACATATTTTCCTTTTGGAGTGATAAGAAGTTAACACACACTTGGAAACAAACTCTCAGCATAATGCCACTAACTCTTATCTGCCTTTCTGGACAGCATCCTAGCACTGGGAAATGCTAAAGACACACAACAGCTATTCTGTGAAGATCCAGCGCAGTAAAACAGCAAAAACCAAGAGTGAAAAGAATTTTGGAGAATAATGACTACTATTTCTCAGCCATCTCCAACTCCAAGTGTACTGGGTGAAGTACTAGTATTGTGCTTACAAAACTCTCATGGGTCAAATGCTGATGCAGCAGCTTCACCCAACAGGCCCATAAGAATACCTTGCCTCTACAAAACCTGTAAGACCTGCTAGTTACATTTCAATGTAAAAAAATGTTATATCCATCACTTATAAAAATAAGTAGGAAATAACACAGTTTTCCCTTGACAGAAAGATACAGTAAAGAAACCAGAACTTCTGGCTTGAAAGCCTGGATCATCTTCTTTATGCTAAACTGAAGCTTTGGTTCAAAATGTGGAAAGGAGAATGGCACACTCCTACAAAGGAAACAGGTTATCTCAGCCTGAATGTACACAGCAGAGTGTGACCTCTGATAGTACAGGGTCTAGTATATATCAACTCTTGTCTAGTTCTTTTTTGCAAGGAGTACAAGGCAAATAATTATGCAGAGCAGCAAGATTCAAGGATAGCGGTAGTCCTTACCTTATACATGAGCACTTGAGATCAGCTGATCTCAAGGGGGAGGCAAACCATATGCACTCCAACTTCTGGGATACACTGTTGTGTTGTTCCATGATTAAATAACTGACATTGTGCTGAATCATTAAAAAGCTATGGCTCAAAGGATGCTTTCCAAGAGTTTTAAATGCTACTTAGATATGTCTCCAAAAAGCTGCTCTAGCATTCCTTTCTGGGTACAGCACCAGAATTATGAAGAAAAGAGGTCTGCTTTACCATTTAAAAAAATGCATTTAAAATTGAGCAACTGAATAACCAATTGATTTCCACAGATGGAAAAAAATTAGATAATGTTACTGAGAGCTGTTACATTTTAGCTTTTTGGAAAAATACATTATTTCTACTCTAGCCCTTAATCACAGTTCTAACAGCCTAATTTAAAGCACTCAAAGGAATATTCAGTATGTTTTTAACTGTTCATTCTTATCTGTATGTTCATTCTCATCTAGGTTTCTGTAACATTTCTGTTTCACAGATATAAACCAGAACACTTGCATTTTGCAAAAAAAAATAATAAAAACTTACAAAAGAAAACCAAATTACATGGATCAAATACATGAAATATTATATTCTGCATGGACTTCACCTTTGCATCTTGCTCATGATCTCCAAAGTCCAGTTAACTACAAAAGTTTTGCTAACTGCTGCTATTACCTGTATTACTGATATGACTGTCCCCCTACTCTCTCTGTTCTGCATGTTATTATTGAAAGGAAAGAGTATTTTCCCTGCTCAGTGCTCACAGACATACACCTCACAGTTATCAAATCCATCACTTGCTGGATTGCTGCTGGAGCTCACTTGGAGGTCAAACTGAGATCTGAAGACATTCAGTATCATCCTGAACAGTTCAGCCTGTGGCTGGGGTGATGAGGGGCACAGAACAAGAAGTGGTTTTGCCTCCTCTGACCAACTCTGTTGAACTTTGTGCTGTAAAGTGGAAATAAAACCCCACCAAGGCACCTGAATAGTTCATCTGCAAAACAGACTGGTAATGGTCTTAATACAACTACAGGGAAGACAGTAAAAGAAACAAGGACCAGGAAACAGACATGAAGACAGAGAAAACAAAACAAATAAATAACTGCTCCACTCCTGTGTCATATTTCTTTGCTGCAAAAGAAATTAAAGTTTAACAGTTTCAAAGCAAAGTATACACATGGTTTAATCATCTTCTCTCTTTTGTAGCTTGAAAGAAAAGTGTTCTGGTTTTCTTTCTTGAGGGCTATCACCACTTCTACCCCCAGAGATATGCACTAGCAACTAAAGCAGTGACAATGGAAACACCAGTGGTTGTACATATGAAAGTATCTTGTTAACACAACACTGCATGCAGTACAGAGGAACATTGATCACATGCTTGACTGAATAGCCACACAAAACCTTGAAACACCAACAAATAAATTACAAAGTATGGAAAATGCTTAGGACAAATTACTGTAATTAACATCTAAGGTTCAGTTTGAACCTTTGCATACATGAAGGAAGTAAAATGTAAGTGCCACAGAAAATACGACACTGAGATTAATCCAGATATCAGTACATTGTACTCATGACAATTCTAGAAGTGAACCTTGCACACATACACACAACATGCACACGTGCTCTGAGCACATCTCGGGTGGCTGTCAGATGAAATCTAAAAATATTAGCAATAGTTTTTTTAGAATACATGTATTTTCATTCCAGACTTAGAAACTGTGCTCCAATCTTCAAGTTTAAAGCCATATATAAAAAAATAATACAATTATACACACACAGTTGTATATTTTTTAATTAAAAAAATATATAGACACATCCACTTGTGCAGCCACATGTGCATGCACACACAAACATACATGAGAAGAAAGAGAATATGTACCTATATCTGGATATATCCCTGACATTACTATTGATGTCATAAAAACATGGAATGATTTTACAGACAAGTTGCAACACAGAGCCATAATGAGTTTCTAAATTGCCAATACTCACACATAACAGAGGGCCTGATCATCAGCAGGTGCTGGAGAAGATCTAGAATGTGAAGCATACGATGCAGCATCTTTTTACAACAGTGTTAATTAATATCAATGTCTCATGCTGAATGCAAGAGGCATACTTATGTATATAGAAATTGAGCTGGTTTTTTTTTTTCCTTTCCTTTTTTTTTATCCTGTTCTACCTCCATCTACATCTAACCCAGAAAACATCTGCTCTTTATTATTGTCTATAGCAGTGATTATTAAGAGGCATGGACAATGGAATTGCAATCTCTTTTATTTCTTGATCAGGAATTCATCTCCCCTTTCAGTCAGGTGAATTCTAATTCAGCTTTATAATTATCTGACAGATGTTAAAAGCAGCTGCTGCTGAGCACAACACACTGGCATTATTATGGAAATATAAGAGCTCCTGGCAAGATAGAGTGAGAAGTGAAACAGAATGCATTCAGTAAGGCCACACATCTGGTTTTCTACACACCGAGGGGAAAAAAAATTAAATATACAACTCTGACTACAACCAGCAAGACTGCTGGTTCTTGAACTATTCAAAATCAAATATTCTTTAATAGAATTAAAGAATGCCTTTACATGACCAGTAAGAACGACTTTGTGTTTTCTCTGCAAATACTATTTGCTACTGTTTGAAATACAGTTTTGGAAGCAAAATACTTCTGCCGAATCACTTTTTGGGGGCACCCTGCTACCCCCAAAAAGCTCAGTCTAAAAGTTAAGGGTTAAATTTTTCAGTAAGGACTAAGAGGAATGATATCTAGATGTTCACATCTGAGTGCTAGCATACCCTTGTTTTCCAAGGAAGACACCTAAGAGATCCAGTTTAAATGTTTGAAATGATGGCCCTTAAATCAAAAATGCTGCAAGGTGATGCACCACATTAGCTCTGAATTGACAAATACAGGAGGTGAACAAAGGAGGGGTGTGTATCCTTCTCAGCAAACATGAAGAATTATCTTAACACGAAGCTCCTCATCTCCAAATTTCTGATTTGGGATGTTACCCATATGTTTGTATCATAATAATTTTCAGGGATCCTGTACTTTTTATTCAAAATTAAAGAGAAGTTTGATTATGCTGAATAGATTTACAGTAAAACTATGTAGACCAAAAATACTGTCATTTTTCTTGCAAGACTCCTTTAGAGGCTACCGAAGGATTTAATCTTTCTGTTTCTACAGTTGAGAAGCTGAATTTACTTTAGAACTTGTCATAGGAATGCAGCAAAGAATATAAATACAAAACAAAAGACAAAAATCTTTTTTTGTCTTTTGTTTTGTACATATGTACATATGTACAAACCGCCTCTTTTCTGCAGTATCTTTCAGAACTGAGATGCATTTTTCTCTGCAAAATCTGAATATCCACACCTAAGGCAGGATTTTAATATTTCCAACATATCTGCAAAAGAGTAAGACTACAAAACAAAACTTGTAGCCACACAGCATAAAATACAGAAGCTATAAAAGGATAAGCACAAATAATGAACACACTTGTATTTGATCATGAACTGCAGCACTAAGAAAAGACTCCTCATAGAAGAATGGTGCTGCAGCATTTGTGTCTCTAAGCAGATATACCCACACATGCATGTGCACATACAACTGATTTCAGTCATGACAGTTGTGAGTTATAATTTGGAAGCCTACAATAATAGTTTATCAACACTGACTCGCTTATATTCCTGACACCATTAATAATAATGTAATTCATTATATGAGCATATCCCTTTATTAAAACAGGCTTACATTAAATCATAATCTTAAATGCATGGCATCTATGGGGCAGGCAAGTAAACCTAGTACCCACAGCGAAGGTATTTTGCCCACCTGTTCCCAAAATACTAGCTCTCTTCCAAGCTAGAATAGTTCTTGTTGAGTATGGAATGTGCTGATGTTCATTTTGAACTCAGTTCTAACCACAGTTACTCGTACTCACGCTGGGACTGGACTGATTCTTTCAAGGCCACCCTCTTGAGTAAGTAAAGGCTTCTATAACCAACAACTCCATTAATCCATTTCCATATCTGACCCAATCAATGTCACCACAGACTAAACAGAGAAAATAGTCACTAGATTTTGAAGCTGTAAACTCAGCACTGGTGTGTCCACAGTTCCACCCACATCTTTAGGAACAGCTTCATTTCCAGACAGTGCTTGTGGGCAAAGTTAATTCCACAACCACAGAACCTAGAAAGAATTGTACTTGAGAAGAAGAAACTTTCTCCTCAAGTGGATTTCTTAAAAGTTGTATTACTTATTGGAAATTTAAAACTACTACTACCAAGAGCAGACAGTTATGCACAAGAACAACTGCTTGTTCATATGTACTAATAAAAATTGGAAGTGACTACAAAAAACAGTGTTTCCACTGTTTGTCACTGACATACTGGAATGTTTCAAGCATTAATCTTCTGCATTAACATCATATTTCATACTTTCTGTCTGGCACCCAAAACTAAAACCCATTAAAAAAACTAAATGAAATTACTTGTGCCATGGCCAGGACAGTCCACCTTCAAGAAACACAAACATCTTGAGAAAATTGTAACTTTCTTTAGAAGACTCATACTGTGAATACAAAATTCTGTCCAATCCTATTCTTTCAAAAAAAACTAGCCAAGGCAGTAATAATGATAATATTCAAAACAGTGATTCCTAAGAACATCTGAAGCCTCTCACACAAATGATCTCATCATTGAAATCCACAGAAATGTAATCTGAAGGTGAATTAGCCAACTGATGCTACAATTTAAAGGTAAATCGATGTGTAATAAAATTTTCATTTAAAATACTTGCATAAATAAACAAATTTTGAAAATCAGCTTTTTCCTACTATAACTCATCATCTAGTTTTACCTACTTTATGTCTGGTCCAATGAGTGAATGTCGTCTCAGCATAGCCCGGGCTTGTGCATTGGTTAAGTTAGTGGTTGACTCTTCATTAATGGACAGGATGCAGTCCCCCACACCAATCCGTCCATCACGACTTATTGAGCCTCCATGGATGACACTGCGAACTATCATTCCCAAACCGTCTTTATTGGAACTTACTGTCATCCCTACAGTAAACACACATGAAACAGTTAATGTCTCTGAGCCACGGCTCTGGGTGCCAAGATAAAGAAATGTAACTTGGGGTACAGGGAAAGGAAAAGTCAGTCAGCTGACCTGCCAATATCATCAAGTCTGTAAGTATTGCTCTTACTCTCCCCCTTTGAGACAGCAACTACAAATCACAATCACAATAACTTTACCTTGTTGTCAGTTCACATACTCAGCTCAATGCATGAAAAATTAAGATAGTGGAATATTTAAGCAAAAAATAAGAAAGATAATGAAATTGCTTAAAAACCATTTAAAAACACCACTCTTCTAATGGTTTACTGACTTTATATACATTTCACTTTCACTTATGACAACTCTCTTAGGAAAGAAGGTGAAATGAATAAACAGGTACTTAACAGGCTGAAAACAAATACACACTTATTTTCAACAGAAAACATGAATTAGATCCCACTGAGATGGTGGCTGCCTTCCCACTCTCCCACTCTCCCTAAGCCATAGCTTAGGCCCAGAAGAGCATCCTGACTTCTGTGGAAGTCTGCACATTGCTAATGGATACAGACCAGTATTTTACTTAAAACATTATCCTACCTGTGGCACACAAGGATACTGCTGCTCAATATTTATACCATTTAACTCTACCTTCTTTCCAGTAATGGGAAATAAGACAGATATGCTCTTGGCCCCTCCTCTCCCATGGGGAACCTATAGGGACTGACTTATGATAGTCTTCATATGTCCCTGTGACTGTTCTTACACACATGAGCTGTCACTTTTATCTACAGGGCAGCTGGTGTTCATGAAATAGACACTAGAAACAGTTTCAGGAAAAACTCAGCTCTTCACTAAGGTAGTGGAAAAGGCAGGGCTGGAACCCTTGAAGTCCTTCCTTGAGGGACTTCCACTATCTTAATACTGCTTAATAAAAAAACTTTTTATTTTTCTGAAATGTGGGTTGAAATTCTGAACCTAACCTTGCTGTTTGGTTAACATAGTAACAGACATTACTGAGGGTAGTGTAATAGCACTTTAGGAAAACATCACATATACAATATTCACATTCATATTTTGTACATACATACAGTCTTATTTTTTATGCATAAAATGTCTGACAATATGGACCCTGACCCACATTTATATTTTCATGCCATATTACACTTGACATGAAATTTGCCTTGATGTTCACTGCACTTAAAATACTCAGACACAAAAATAAAAACCTACTCCACTGAATGAAGAGTTTACTGCAAAGAAAACTTTTTTACAAAATCACTTTGAAGTGCATTGTGACCTACACTTTATACAGACTGGCGATGAGGCCAGTAAATGCAGCAGTTAACCAAGCCCCTCATACCAATGAAAGATAAACCTTACACCCGTATCAACCTTTTCTACATCTTTCTATTTTTGAGACCCTGATTTTAAACCAGATTGATTTTGAAGGATGACTGTTTCATAAAGATGACTTGGCAGACTGAGCATCCAGCCATCAGAAAGCAGTTTATTCCAGGTCAAGGTCCACTGAAATACAGCATCACAGCTGTAAAAAAAAACCTGACACCCACCTCTGCACAGCAAGAAAGTTCTGACTTGTGACTGTTTATAAACGTCCAATCCTGTGGACAGCTCCTTTTAAAGCATTTGAGGAATTACTGCTAATAGCCAGCACCCACACAAAGCCCTGCCCTACCAATCCCAGAGAGTCTTCTTATGCAGTTGGCTGGAAGAAACAGCACCAGGAACCTAAATCAAACCAAATAAACACACAAGCCACAAACAGTAGAGATGCATCACTGCCCTTCCACACAAAGCCCTCCTGGCATTGGCTCTGGGAGGGTTCTATTCTTGTTCTCCCCCTCACACTGCCCAGGGCCACACCTGAGAGCAGGACAAGACAATGAAAAACATTATCATCACTTGTGTGTGTTCACTCCAAAAGGTGTTTCTAGTCAGTATGCTCAGGAAGTTGCAGTTTGTAGGTATCTAAAATCTTTGAACTTCACTACAAAATGATAATATCATTAAGCCAAAAATACTATCTATCAAATTTATCAATGACAAGATTTTTGTTTACAAATATTTGAAAAATCTCATTTGTAGCACTTTAACCATAGTGTTTTCTACAGCATTCCTTGGCTATATCTTGGTTTTCCATTATATTAATACATTGAAAAACAGTGCATTAAAATTGTTCTGTTAACACTTAGGAAATCCTGTTTATGGGAAAACAGTTTCTCAGTGACACTGCACATTTCACTTCTGTGCTCACAGCAACATCAAATGCATACAGTGCCATCACAGTCAAACAGGGCAAGACAATCAAAGAAAGATATCCTGTCGCCGCTAAATGGAAAATAGTTAGTTTTTACTAATAAAACAGGGTACATACAAGGGAAACCAAGCTATATTCCTGAAGAATTTACAAAATTCACTAACTTACCTAGGCTTGAATTGCCTTTTGCAATAATTATAGTCTTCTCATACATGTTTTTCACTGAATTCGGGGGTGTGGAATTTCCCTCCAAAGATACTGGGCATCTCTTTTCCACTAAAAGCAATTGATCCTAAAATAAGGGAAAATAACACCAGTTCAGATTACCAAGATAAAAATATGATTGGTCATACTGATCTCAACCACTTTTGCCTTACTCAAAAGCCATGCACATAATTACGTCAGATTTCTTATACAGACATTGGAAAAGTCAGTTCACCGAAGATCATGATTTCTGTTTTCATTCAGGCAACAAACCAAAGCTATCACAATGCACACTTTTAATTTAAGGGCATCAAAATTAGTAGAATGAATTCAAGGGCTTCAGATTCATTCACCACAGATGTCTGACAATCTGCCAGTACTAAAGTAACAAATCTTGTAAGGCATTTCAGCTCTTTAAAGCATTTCTTAATAAATCATTGAAGGAAAAAATAAGAAACATGTCACAGTGACTGTCATATAAAGGAAAATTGTGTTTGGACACTGTAGCATCACAGGTCAGTTTGTGAGCTGAAGTGCACAAGATGATTGCAAGACATTCAGACCACATCCCCCTCGGTTTCCAAAAGGCCCGACTGCAGCTGTGTGCCTCCCATTTGCACTCATGCCCCTGTGAAGGTTATCAAGGCTTAAGAAAACCCCCTTGTCCTGCCCAGGGGTTACACTGTGGTCCAGCAGTATCTATTATGTGAGGCCTGAGAAGACTTGTATATATCCCTGTATTGACAGTCTCTGAGAAAATACAATCTTGATGGCATAAATTATGTCCTTTTTTGGAAAGATCTAGATCCCAAAGTTTTGATGTGAGCTAATTAATAATCAAAGAAATATGCACGGCTATTGGCCTGTAACAATTTCTGCAGGAAATTTTTGGGTCTAATTACAGGCTTTCTGTATGTTTTTTTAAATTATTATTAAAAAAAAAAAAGAAAAAAGAAAGAAAAAAAAGAAAAATAAGGCAAATAACTTTACTTTTTCATTAGAATCAAGATATGTGGTAGTAGCAAGGCTTGTATTTAGTACAATTTCTGATGCTGTCTGAGATCCAGTCCATGTTGCTGTATTTTCACTTTCATTTTGGTTGATATCTGAAACCTCCAGAGTCAGATTTGTTTTAGTAAAATCACTTGCAGTTTCCATGCTACTGTCCACTACAGGCTTTTCATCTCTCAGTCTCTGATTCAGATTCATGTTGTACAGATTCTTGTCAGATACATGGAAATCAGCTGCAGCACTTGGGCATTCCTCTCCGACAGACTGTTCAACACAGGAGACAATGAACAATCACCATTCATTTGTAGTAAAATTCAAAACCGTGTTCATGATAGAACCTTAAACAAAATCTAATCTCATAGAATTTAAACATACTGCTGTAAGAGCAGCAAGATCAACCTCATCTGTAGTTCCCTACAGGCATTCATTCTACAATAAAATGAACTTGATTTCTGAGACGATTTCTTCCACTTTATAATAGCAGAAATCAGTAAAATAAGTTACTAACTAACTTGAGTAACTCCAGTAAGATTTTAAAATTCAAGCATCCAGTTATTTTTCTCAGGTGAAAGAACTCTGCTAGACCAATATCTTTACTTTCAGCACACTTAGCAAGCAAAGAGGAATTTAAAGCAGATCAGACATTAAGAATGCGATGTTATCATCTATGTAACTGAGCAGAAACATTAAGATTACCTCAGCATGAGTGACAAGTAAGAACTTGTTCAGACATCAGCAAAATATGAATATGGGGGATTTGAAGTGTGAGAACAATGAAATACAATAATGCAATTATAGAAGCTTACCAGTTAATAATTATTGCAAATATACCAATTATGGCTGCAGTACCAGAAATATGTTCTCTACACATTTGTTTAGACTTCCAAGATTCTGAGGCCCTGTTTTTGAAATGTTTCAAGGGATTTCAATAATCACAATATTCTGAAAGAAAAAAAACTTCAAATATTCTCTAGCTGACCTTTTAAGGTAAGTTATTTTAAAAACATGTTGGTCATTAGATTTTAAAAAGATTTATCAAGAACTTAGAAGTTAGAGGCTCTGTATCATTAGGGATTTCTTTGCTGAAATGCAATAAAGTAACTCAAAATCAACTAACTCTATCTGTCTTAGTTGTTATTCACCGGTCCTATTAACTGTTCTACTGCTTCTCCAAAAAGCTGGGGAGACATTCTTCCCAGGATTTGTGGATATTTTGCAATATTTTGTCTCAAGAGCCTTAGAATTAATTTTTGTAAACTTTCATGAAGTGCATACATGCTTGTACTGTCCCCTGACAAGAATCAAAAAAGGCTTACCAGTAAATAAGTGGTTTAAGTAACAGCTGAGAAGATAATTGAGTAGAGCCTAAATACAACTAATCTTCATGATATAATCAATGACATAATTTCCTACCTTTTTGAGAACAGAACACGATACAATAATCTATTGAAATTATTTTATAAGGTTTCAAATACACCTAGGACATCTACTTTTAAGCCTGTTTTTTACCCATTTCCGAATCAGTGAAAACATCTATCAAATCATACTCACTTATTTCATATTCCACAGATACATATTAAAAGTTGCATCATATACTAATTTTTATTTTTATTTCACTTAAAGAAAAGCCAATGTTGTAATTTTTTAGGACAAACACAGTTCCAGGAATTCATACCTATAGTAGCATGTGGCCTCACTAGAGCATCTGCATTATTTTTTTTTTTTAAAAATCCTTAAGTTTTATGTTTTTCAACACCTTTTTTTTAAATGTGACAACAAAATGTGACACACTCAGAACCTGCCCTGCAGCCAGAAATAACTAAAATATTTGTGCATCCCTCACAGCATCAAATAGTGCTGTTTTAATTTTTACTGCGTTTCATTTGCTTCAACAGATTTCATTAATGAACAAATTTTCCCACTATGTTTGTTTTTTGAATCATGAATAAGCTACTTGAGAACTTAATACTCACTTTATACTGGTGTACAGAGACAAACACTGAAAAATCAGGACTAAGGTATTTTAAAAGAGTAGGTAAACCAAAGTTATGTTTAAGTTAATGGCAAAAACAACTAAAGACTTTCTGGAGCCTCAATGTGATATATAATGTAAGTCCAGTCTCTATCTCACAAAATACTCCCAAGCATGCAAAATGCATAATCCATTTAAGTAACAATTACAGAGTTAAACAATGCAAGCTGTCCCATTGGCACAGAAGAGATGTGCTCTTCTGTGGATTAGGAGAAACCATTAGGAGATGAATCTAGCTTTCTAGCCAGTGCCTCATAAGGGCTAAACATATTCCAGAAAGGTTAACAGGAATTACTGCAGCTCAGGTGTGGCAGAAAAAGCAGCAGCTACTCTATTCAAGACTGCAAACCCAGAGGTTTTCAATGAAGACTGCTAGGAGAATGGAACTGGAAAGCTCTAGGTTAGTGAAATAAATCTAAATATTTAGAAGAAAGAAAGAGTATGAAAAACCATGGAAAGAAAGAAAACATGATCAGGTCATTATGGGTATGTGACCAAGAACCAAAAAAGCTACTGATCTTCTTAATAATCTTAAATAAATCTTCATTTATTGCTTTACATAAAAATTATCAGCAAGGTTTCTCTGATTTACTTTACTTTTTACTTTACTTTTACTCTGATTTACAGAGTTTTATGGATTTAACTACAGCATCATTATAAAATTTTCATTCAAAACCACAGAAACATACTAATTATGAAGCATAAAAGTGTAAGTCAGGATGAAAACTTATTCTTGCTTTTTATACTGAAATATAGAGCAACAGGGCAATTTTGTGTTACCACTCTCTATTATGCTTTGAATGATAATTATATTTTTCTAGCAGACTGCTCACCACACCTTTAATACTACAAACATCTCACCATACTCTGACTAATTCATGCTTTATCTAGCAAAAACTCCAAGCTTTGTGCCTTCTATCTACCTCTCTCTTCAATAAAGACATCTACAAGACATCAGCACTACTCTAAACAAAATTTTACCCTGGTGACACATACAGCATTTTGAACCAGGATGACACAAAACATTTATATCAGATAATACAGCCTGCTCACTGTAATAAATAAAACCATCCTCGATTTTACCTTGGGAGATGATAATGGAAGAGAGAAGCTGTTGTTCACCTCACTGCTACAGGCACTGTCTTGCAGAGCTGTCACTGAATCCTGGAAGACGTCTCTCTCTAGAGAATACTGTGATTCAAAGGTGGACTCATCCGCTAGATCTGCCTCGCCAGAGTCCACCTAACAACAAAAGCAATTCAATCAGCCAGGCTGTTGCCATCACACCACATAAGCCCCAAACACATGCACACCAGCCACTACAGACTGATACTTTTCTTCTTTTTTATTCCATATTTTAGATTGAAATTACATTTGCACAGCAGAAAATTCTGCTTGTAGTAAGTCTGTGTTACTACTTCCTCAAAGGTTGCAAAGACTGTCTGAAGTAAACCAAATAAGTTGTGGGGCTGAGGCACGCTCATGCCTATTAATAGAAGTACAAAGAATTGGGAGAATTCTGCTATACCTCTTGGCGTCTATATTCTGATTTCTTTGGGGCTTCTTTTTTCTTTTCAATTTTCTTTTACAAAAATTAGCATGGATTAAATAAGGAGCTTCACTTGGTGGCACATGTCAGGAATGTTCCCTTGACTTAACTTTTCAGGCTCATTTATTTTTATGATCTTTTAAAATCTGGAAACTGCAGTGCTTTACAGTGCATCTATATGAAAAATTCATTATGTGATTTTTTTTAATAGATTTTAAATTGCTTTGCTTTTTACAACAAGATTACTACGGGCATTCCTGTATTTCTATTTCTCTTACATGGGAAATAAAATTTTTTAAAGAGTTTCAGACATTGACATGGGTAGTATTTTTGCCTTTATAAAAAATGAAAAGTATTTTTTTCCAAGACTCACATTCTTTTAAATACTAGAATAAAATTAAGCCCTAAAAACCCTAATTAATGGTGCTACAGTTTGATTACTATTTCATCCCCCCAGAAGAGCTCAAGGTAATAATAATAAACAAATAATAATAATAAAAATGATCACTGGATTAAGAGCCATGACTGTATCATAAACTTGTAGGAAGCAGATGAGTGTACCCATCTACAGAGATGGGATCTAACTTCTTTTTCAGCCCCTGTGGTTAATCGTATTATGAATCCATTACATATGAAGTAGCAACAATCTGCAATAAATTGAATACACTGATTCCTTTTCAGGGTAAAAAGGATTATTTTTTTTTATTATTTCAAGCCTATAGACTTAACTGTTAATCCAAACTGCTTCTTTGCTGTAACTTACTCTCAGCTCATCTTGAAAATGCGTATTTGTTTTACCAAAGCTCTGCCCTAAAAAATGTATTGTGAAAAATCAGGACATATCTGTGAAATCTGAGTATAGATCTGTCTATGAAAAACAGTATCTCGTACGTGCACTCTCAAAACATATCTTCAGCTGGGAGACTGCACATTTAGTTTCCTATTTTGCACATTTAATTAGACAACTGACAAATTTGATTGACAGTTTTATTATGTCATGTATCTTCACTGCTTTTTTTCCACAAGTTTCTTTTGATAGGAACCACAGATGGAAGTCAAAATTTTTAGATAGTTTTAATCTGATCATTTCAACACATCTTTAATTAAAGGTTATTTAGAATATAAAACTTGTCCTTCTTCTCAATGAATGGAGCAAGACAACTATGGTTAACTAACTGCTAAAGGTAACAAACTGAAGAATTAAAAACATGCAGTCTTGCTTAAAGGCAAGTTATTAAGCCAGTTTGTCATCTGCAAATGTGAAAAAAAAGCAAAACTGCTGGAAGCAGTAATGCAGAGATTTTCACCTTTACAGGATCCATTTCAGGTTTTTGTTTGTTTTTGAGTTTTTCTCTAATGAACAAAGTTCTCATGTTTAGAAGCTGCTTCCCTGCTCACGTCCTCAGAAAATGAGTGTCTAATAATTTCAACATCAGACCCAGACCAGAACAAACAAACATGAGAATACACACTTGGAAAACATACATATTCATGTGTATTCTGGTTTGTTATTTTTATTTTTTTTTTAATTTTGTGGGAGGAGGGTTTGGGGGATTTTTTGCTTTTTTGTAGTGCCTTATTTCCTGTGTCTTTTTAATCTGAGCTCTTATTGGTATCTTCTGGGCTATGTAAGGCACTGATTGCTCAGGTAAGCCACATTGTTTGTACAAGTGAACACCTTCTGACCTTGTAAATCGCATAATCACTGATTGATGTTGAAGACTAAAGAATATTATTAGGAGGAAGTATTTGCAGCTCTTGAAGACTGTGTTCCTTGTAAGGCTGGATTACATGCAAAAACAGAATATCAAAAACTTTCCACAGTAGAAAAGTGATATTATGATACATAGAAAAATAAACACAAGAACATTTCTCTAAAAAGGTGAGATTTTGAAAGGGATGCTCAGTGCATGCAAGGACAAGTGAATAGCCATGCACTTCTGAAAACATCAGAAAATACTTTTCTTTCCCTCAGCAATTAACATATCATAGGCCAGATCCACAGTTCATGCAAAAAGCCAAAGTCTCTAGATGCCAGTTTCTATGAAGTCAGAATCCATCCCACCTACAGTGGATGAGTAATGTGGAGTCAGCAAACACTGAAAAATAAGCATGGACAGTGACAAGGCAACTCCTTTCACTACAAAATGCAAAGACTGAAGAAATCTGCGGTAAGTTGGGCCACTAACCAGAGCCAGCTCAGCATGGAAGAGGGCTGCATCAGCTGGCCCCTCCTCCTCAAGTGGCTGGGCAGTGTAGAAAAAGCAATCTTCCTTAGCAGAGACATAGCCCTCCTCAGGTGAAAGCTGCAGAAAGAACGAAGCTCTGAGTCGGATGAGTGGCTTGGACACAGCAGGTGCAGAGTGCATTCTGCAAGGGGGGCAGGGGGCTGTTTAGAAAGGCAAATGGATTCCAAATGCAGCAAAGAGATAATTTCAATCACAGTCACAGAATTCAGTTGGTAAAGAGACTTTTTTTTTTTCTTTCAAAATTACCTGAATTGATTCAGTTCCACACCTCATTCTGAAACCCCAAATAATAAAAAAGGCCCTGTACAGGTATACCACAGAGTCCACAACTTAGTCTACACTCATTTTCAATTTCTGGTCTTAATAAAGACGTACTAAAACTGCCATCACATCTGCCAACAGAGAAGGAGCCTAACAGCAGAGGTCTTTATAATCTTGCTAGCCACAGAGCAATCTTGCTTGCAGGCAAGAAGATTTCATGTACTCTCTGTGTTTTACGATTGTATCTGTCAGCCTCTAGAGGACAAAACATAATCCTGACTATAAACCAATAGCTTTTTCTAACATAATTTTATAGGAGGTGCTTTTGTCCAGTACTGCAAAAAAAGCAGGGATTATTTGTAATGTTTAATTAAAGCATAATACATGAAATATTGAAGTGCAAATGCCCTATGTTTACATCTTTTGGGAACATAAACAAAACCTACATGGATTTGTGCTTTTAGAGTGACACCTTCTAGAATATGAAATTATTGATTGCAATTAATGTGGAGACCCCAATAAAAAAATTAATTTAACAGAGCAAGTTAAAACGTACTCTCCTACTATGAAAAGCAATGTTTGTGGGAACTTAAACAGCCATTCCATGCACTCTCTCCACAAAGATGTGCTAAGAATGAAAATTTGATATCTACATCCACAAGGGTTGCAGGATTATCAATTCATGAAAAGCAAAAATGAACCCCTAAAACTGTGCTTGGGCTTACCAATATAGAGAAAACTATCTTCCTTGTATGTATGAACTACTGATCTGAATTTAACCCATCAGAGATGCTCACCCACTAGCATTGTTACTGCTACACTGTCTCAGTGACCCTAGGTTTCCTTTAAACCTCCTTTTTTGAGTTGTTCTAGACTACCTTCTAAAACCAAGCCTGAAATAATCAGTTAGATGCAGACAAACTGAAGACTACACACTTTTACATAAATAAAGTGTGTTGTTTGAATACAAAGATTGCATATATACTTTTGAAGGATTGGAATGGTAATGGGAAATGTGTGAAACACTTACAAAAGGAGCAGGTGCTTTGTTAACCAGGCACAAAATAACCACCAAGCTGCAGAGGGGGTGCACACCCACCACCTGAGATCACAAACTGGGTTTGGAGCCAGATGAGGGAAGAGACTGGTAAAAAGCAAATCCTGTGAGGTGGGATAGTGCTTTTTATCCTGTCCATGTCCTTACACAAGTGGCTCAGGTGTGAAAAGCCTGCTCTGGAGACATAGTGGGACACTCGCAGAAAGCCTGAAGGTATTCATTCCTTCTCATGGACTGTAATTGGCTCAACTATGCTAACCTGAGAGGAAGCTGTAACATCTTAGGTGTCATAAACCATCATTGACAGAAATGCTTTGCCACCTACAGTGTTACCTCAGACAGGGTAAAACTCTCAACCACACGGGAGGTACTTAGACATTCTCATCTAGCCTGAATGTATATTAACTCATTGAACTTTGCATTGCTCAGGTTTCCCCCATGCCTGGTGGATCAAGACTGTGATCAGCACTTTGAAGAGGCATTGAAATTGCAAAAACCAAGTCTTGTCACTGGATCCATGGGTGATGACTACATACCTTTCTACCCTTATCCATTCTCTTTCTTTTCCTGTATACTTTCAAAGGTGTTATTTTTATTGTTTTTATATTATTGCTATTTTATAAGCATATATATATATATGCCTATATATTATTTTATATATTATTTATAAATGCAATAATATAAAAATGCCTACATTTAAAGATTTGCCAAGTAGTCTTTTATCTTAATGTTCTAAAGATTGCAAGTAAAAATTTGTTACTGAACCTCTTGAAAGTTTTGTTTTTTCTCCCACATACCACCCAGCATAAATCAAATCTCCCCAAGCAGAGTAACAGGCCTAACAATACTACACCTAGCATGAAAAGGAACCAGTAAATTCCACACAAATCAACTAGCATGAAAAGGAACCAGTAAATTCCACACAAATCAAATAAAAACAACTTTATGTCACCATCTCACACATTCAGAAAACCATGTAAAGTGTACAGTGTACAATATTATGCCTGGCAACTTTCAGCCATGAAAGATTCTGCTGGTTGCAAGGTGTTTTGCTGTTTCCTCAGCTGCAAAACAGGTGTGCAAAGGTCATGTACTACCCAGGCCACCCCTACACACAAGACAATAGATGGGCCACCCTGCTGTACTCCAAAACACACAAAATGTATGAACAAGTCAGGATCAGCATGTACCAACTTCAATGGCATGAAAAGTACACACTGAATTCACAAATCCTTACAGGCAATGGTTTGGCAACTCCTATTTTAACTGTTCCTGTTGGGGCTCCTTTCAGTGCTTGCACTGCTTCCTCCAGGCTGCCATTTTCCAGGTTGATATCATTGACAAACATAAGTCGATCTCCAGGAAGAAGCCTGCCATCTTGCTCAGCCACACCCCCAGGAACTAATGAGCGAATCACAATTACAGTGTTTGCTGGATCAACGGGATCCTAATTAAATAAAAGGAAGAAAAAGATTTCACTTTTTTTTTTTTTACTCTTATATATCCTGAGAAGAGAATTTTTATTCATGAGCTTTTATTAACCAATGTTGAGTTATGAAGTGTTGCTCTCCTCTAGATGAACCTTCAGTAGAAGCAAACTATCTGTCTGTACTGTCCACACATTTAGACCTCAACTTATTTTTAATTTTTAAATGTGGAAATTATTACTCCTTTCTAGGTGATGTTCCATCCTGTATCTCCAGTATTAAATACTACTAAATTGCTCAGTGTTGTCCATACACATCAGAAATTCATATACTTCCTACTGCAACAACAGTGTTGCAAACTCCATCCTCCCTCAGAGGAGGATATACTCAGAGGTTTGAGGACACAGGTGGGCAATGTAGACTGTGCACTCTAGTGGAACAAATGACTTATTTTCAATAACTGTCTTATAGTTCACGATCTTGCTTAATTAAGAAAGCAGTTTTCAAGAGGCAAGGTCTTGTGTATGCCTAATTAATTACTTACATGAGAGAGGAACATACCAATATAGTACTCTAATACACAAGACAAACAAAGTGATGTTTGCTTTTAAGAAAACTGCTTTTAAGTGACCATTTTCAAACATACTGATTTTTGTAAATAAAAGCTTACATCAAATACTAGTAACAGGAACATATAATTCTGCTATAACTATCATACATGCAAAATATTTGTATGATTCTTACAGAACTACATTCACAAGGAACATCATGTTAATACTTCCAACACCCAGTTTACTTGAGTGCATGAACAGAAAAAAACCCAAAAATGTAATCTTGTAACAGCTTTATTGATAGCAAATATAGAGAAAAGTAAACTACATCAACAATTGATTGACTGATCAATTGATTGTAGATCAAACTACATTTGATCTACAAATCAGCATGCGTGGTAACAAGTTTCATGTCAAGATGTACATCTGAAAGGAGGGACACCATCAAAGCAACAAGAAAAAGCTACAGGAATAGGAAGACTACTGAAAGCTGGTGTGGGAGAGAAATGTTGATGGACGGAGGGTGAGAGGTATGGAGGAAGTGAAGGAAGGAAGGACATCAAGAAGACCCTTAACACTTGATGACACTTAGTGCAGTAAAAAGAATGCCATTTCCAAGTCCATAACTAGCAGTGCTGCAAATAGTGCTTGACCCTGAGCATTGATACGTTCCTAACTATTTTAATAACAAATACTTACACTGTCACTTTAGATGGCACTGTGTGACAAATTTTTTGGAAAAAAAAAAAACAAGCCTCTCTAGTCTGTGTGATAACCTTCCTTAGGGTTAGAAATTATGTAGACCTTTCTACAGGCCTGCATTCTATAAAACATGAGGAATGTGTTAACACAAACATAATTCTCCTCAAGTTTAGTCAATGTTCATTGAAAATGAATTGAAAATTTGATGGAAACAGAAAAATACAAATATAAATCTCCCTGTAAACTTATTGTTCACAGTCTTATAAGAAAACAAAACTTCAGTGACAGTGAAATTTTTTTACGGCATATCAAAGGAGAGAATATATGACAATAGACAAATATTATAACATCAAAAAAGCGCTAAGTTTCAGAAAGCTGCCTAAAGCTGTAAGATGAACTCATATTTGAAAAATATATTAAACAACTTTAGGCACTTCCCAAAAGCCTTTAGGACTATTATCCATAAGTAAAATTCAGTCACCAACCACATACACACCCACCATTTGTGTTAATGCTCAGAAGAGACTGAAGCAAAAAAATGTTCTACTGTGTATTGACATGGACTTCAAACACTCAAGCTCATCTGTGATTTCTCACTGCAGAATAGCATGAGCAACACTTTAAAGAGTAGTCAGTGCTTCCTTCATGAAAGACACTTGCCTTTATCCTTCACATTATTACACTACACTGTTCTTCACCTTATCAGTGTGCAAATGCAAAATCTAAGCCATAGCTTAACTGTAAGGGTGCCCTGGGGCCCTAATTTCCACCTGGAAAAAGGAGTGTATGCATTTACCATCTCCAGATGTAAATGCATACACTCCTATGGACAAGATCCAGCAGAAACTTGGAAAGAGATCTGATCCCCATAGCACTGCAAAACAGCTCAGCAAAAGCCTACACTGACCTCAGGGAGAAATTACTTGACATTCAGCTAAAAATTATCCACTGGAAAACTGGGAACAGGAGGAATATTTTTTCTGGCATCTTGACCAAGTGAAGCAAAAAGACAGGCAATGGAGCTGTTCATTGGCACACACCATGAAACACAGTTTAGATATCCATGAATTCTAAAGTCAAACACAAAATTAATCAGGACGTTTAAGCATGTCCCCGACAGACAGCAGCTAAGCAAGGGATTTCAGAATTACAGTTCTGGATTTTAATAAATCCTGCTTTAAGCATTTAAGTCCTTTATTGGATCTTGCCCTAAACACCTCACTGCAGGTGCAAAATACATGGCTAAATGCCTAAATATGCTGGCTACATCATTCGTTGTCCCTGGGTCACTAGAAGACAGCTTTGTGAAAACCCTGGTATATACAGATTATCTGTTTTTCTGAACCAGTATTACCATCATCATTTGAACCTGTAGTCTTAATACAATGAGAGGAATATGTAATTACTGGAATGTCTACCAGCATTGATTAATTCTACTCTATTGCTTGGTTTCAATTAATGACATAATTGAAATATATAGAAGCAAGATCTAAGCAATACAAAGTATTTTGTCCTTCATCCAAAGAAGTTACCTGATAGTCCAATATGCTAAATCGTGGCCCTGAGAAAAAGAGTAAACAGTCACCAATAAAATGTAAACACTTGAGAATCTTTAGAGACAAAAATCTGCTTACAAAAAACAAAATAAAACCTAAGTGATATATCTCTAAACACAGAACAACCACTCAGGAGATTTAAAAAACTCTGATAAACCTAGCACAAAATTCAAATATCCTTTATAGCTAAGCTGCAAGTATATTAAATTACTCACTAGGAAAATATTTACAAAATAGAATTTGTGTCAAACTAAAATCTTCAAAACACTTTATTAGTATATGCATTCAAATATATGGGAAATATATATTATTACATAGTATGTCTAAAATATGCCTTTATTAAACGTAATCATATTGACAGTAGCCAGAATATCTAATAAAAGTAAAAAAAAAAACACATATGTACATAGTCTGTTCTTCAGTCTGCTCTTCACTTGGTTTCACAGAGAAATTTAGAAACTATAAGCCAAATATGGTGCCTTGCTCAGAACTCAATAGTTATCTATTTCTCTTTTCATACAAATGCTATTGTTTTGTATACTACACCCTAGGCCATTCCTAGATGTTTAGTTCACCAGGTTGCCCAGAGCTGTGCACTTACGAATAACATAAATGTCAGTCAAGGAATGCTTACAGTTATCTGCAAAGCAAACCCAAAAAGCACAGTCCAAAACTCGATTAAATACATTCAGATTCTAAAGAACCCACAGTACAACTTGCTATACTCCTATGTCGCACCTACAGAACAAGAAGTACAGCACTTGGAGAGATACCTCCACATCCTAAAATATTTTTGCCTATGACCAGCCAGGATTCATATCTTCTGGTGGCATAAAAAATAGCTAATAAACATTATTTGCTGTTTCCTATTTGTCTGGCTCCAATTCCAAAAATATTAAAATAGATTTCTAATCATGTAGAAGAACTTCATCTGTTCTGTTTTTTTTTCTCAAGGGAACTGTCATTTTCAGCAGTTGTTTAAAGAAAAAATACCTTTTCTGTGAGCTCAACTTCAGATAGACTTAGACTCTCTAGTATTTCTGGCTGAGTGACAGGTGGAGCGACTGGACGACAACACACCATTGTCACCTTAATAGGCAGCTCTTTCAAGATACTGACCACATCCTTGTGGTTTTCTCCAAGGAGAGAAATCTCATTCACCTCAATAAATAAAGAATACATAGTAGTTAGAACTACAGAGTATTTATAAGCAACAAAAATGAGTAAAAGAAACCCCAAGCAAACCCCAACTCATTAATTACCTCATTAAAAGAAAGTAAAATAAAAGCAACAAAAATCCCCATGCTAAGATAAACTTTCAACCCTTAATTTCTACTCAATTTGGTGCTCAGCACCAAGGTATGTATTGAACTGAATGTATAGTCTTTTAAATTGCATGACACCACCCTACAAACACCACATACACTGTAGCTTCATGTTTATTGCATTCATGTAAACCAAATTCCCATCTTAGTTCTAAGAAAATAATTCAGAAAAGTAATTAGGTGTTTAGTCGCTTCACTGAGTAGGGATAATCCTATTCAATCTTAATGCTTTCACTACATAGTCTTTTTGGTGACTGTCTTGGTTTCAGTTGGGATAGATTTAATTTATTCTCAGCAGCTGTGCAGTTCTGTGTTTTGGGTTCAGTATGAGAGTAATTTTGATAACACACCAATGTTTTGGTTGCTACTAAGTTGAATCTAGGATGTTTTACATGCTCTGCCAGTAAGGAGGCACAAAAAAGGAAAAAAAACCCCATGAGGGAACAGCTGAGCTAAGTGACCCAGCTTAAACTGGCCAAAGGGATACCCTAGGGCATCATGCCCCCAGTATATAAACAGGGGACTTAACTGAAAGGTGCACTGATCAAGGCCTGGGGACAGGGCCTGGCATTGGTCAGCAGGTGGTGAACACTTGCACTGTGCATCACTAGAGAGGTTTGCTTTCTCTTTTTACTATTATTATTATTATTATTATTATTATTTACTTTGTTACAATTATTATTATTATTATTATTTACTTTGTTACAATTATTAAACTGCCATTATCTCAACTTAAAAGGTTTTACTTCTGATTCTCCTCCTCACACCACCAGGCTGGGGGTGAATGGGATGGGAAAGGAAGTGGCTGCATGGTGCTTACTTGTCAGCTGACCACGACAGAGATCTTGGACTATATCAAAAAATCAGCTACCAGCTGAGAAATGTATGTAAGCATATGTACTCACATAAATATATGTAAGTACATATAAAGTGACTACTCAACCACCAACTGGCATGCTGTTAGGTATACATCACTCCTATGGTCATAATCTCTGAGAAGAAACTTACTGCTCAAAAACCTTACTGAATGCAGACTAAGATAAAGCAGAATTTCATCTTACTTCCAGCAGTTCATCTCCACTGAATAGCTTGCCACTTCGTCCAACTGGCCCTTCAGGTAAGATAGATCTGATGAAATGATGACCCACTGTAGCTTCAAGGCTTATCCCTAACCCACTGCTTTCACTAAATTTGTTAACCACAGCCACCTAAAATAAGATGAAGAAATCTTTACATTTGTCATATTTACAGCCAGATCTGTTACTTTCCATTTCAATTTACATGCAATGACGTCAAAATTCCAGAAGTGAGAAACCAGAAGTACTATCATGTGTAATAGGGACAGGTAAAAACTGACTTGTTAATTACACTACACTTTCCAATTCACAACTGAGAACTGCTTATATATCAAATAATACATCTGCAGACACTAGATCTTTGACATGTGATTTTGCAGTATCTTCTAAACTGAGATACTGCTTTTCTTCTGTATCTACCATATATGTTCTATGAAACACAAATAATTTCACATTTCTATACATGAAATTATTTATTCAGTATGAAAAAGAAGAATGAGGTTTCAAGTTCTAGCTAATGAAGGGAGCTTTGAAGTTAATATTAAGTTTTATTTTTTTCTCTATTACACATTTATCCTCCTGAAGTGATAAAATTGGTGAAGCAATAATCATGGGCTGAATAATCTTACAAGTCTGTTATGGTTTTCATAAGAAAAATACACATCTATATTCAAAGTCTATAATTAAAATAATCTTAACATACTAAGGAGCATATGTGTAATTTTCATACATGAAGGAACAAATCCTACACAAACATATTTCTATCTATATGTTGTCAACATAATAGATGCACAGATGAAATAGATGCACATTTAACCATAGTAAACAAAATTTACCTACCACTATTTCATAATTCGAACCCATAATCCTCTGCCATTTTATCTTAGCGGCTGCTTCTTCTGTACTAATTAGCTGGAAATCTAAAATTTATATTTAAGATTACTATGACAAAGAATTAAAAAACGTAGTCAGCTCCTATAACTGATAAAGTATATGGAACATGCACAACGACATAATCATTCCCATGATGTCAGAATTCTCTTAAATATGACTAAAAACTCAGTATGTTTGGTCTCACCAAGCTTGAGTTTACCAGAGCAAAAACTCACAAAGCAGTATTAAGATTCCAACCATGCAAAACTAACTGAAGTATTTTGAAAAACATGAAGTTCAGTCAAATAGTTTGGTGTTATGTGTCTGGGAAGAAAGGATACATACTAATCTCAGAGCTGAGTCAATTTTCGGCAATGTTTCAAGATAACAGGCAAGAAGGAAATTAAAAGGTTGCATTCAAGCCCTATGTGTAATTGTTAAATCAGACTACACGTGATCATATCCCCCTGATCAGAGTAATTCAGGGGGATGGCCAAAATACTTAAAAATGTAAACTGCACACTGATCCTTTTGGACAGACCCTGCATTTCACATAGAATGTCCAAAAACACAATCTAGAGATTTTTTTTTTTTTTAATTTTTAAAAACATGAGCACAACTGTGAAAGAGTTTTCTGAATCTGTAAGCCCTAGAGGTCAGTAACAGAATGCAAGAAGTCTAAGCTCTTTGCTTTTTTTTTTCTCCTAGACTCACATATATGCCCACATACAATGACATACAATTTTAATAGCTAAAGAACAGAAATGAACTTGGAAAGGAAGGAAGGGGAGAAGTACAGTGACAGGCCAGGTAGCAAACGGGCAAGTCTTAATTTGACTGAAAGTTTATTTGCAGGTTTGAAAAGCAGAGAAATGCTTTCTTCCTGCTCATTTCTCCCTCATTCATATTGCCTAGTCTCTATGGCAGAAACCAGTACAAAGCAGCACTTAGATATAACAGCCAGCAAACACAGCAGGTTTGCAAGGATCCTACATATTCATGGTCTGAGATGTGTCTACAGTAAGTATCAAAAGAAACTCTTCAGATTTGAATTCTCATCACAGGCAAAGACAAGAATCTTCATTACAAAGTTCTCAAATCTCACTGATTTTAGTAAGAATTGAAAATGACTAAGAGCCTCGGACAGTATTCTAAGTCTAGTTATTGCTCAGAGACATTACTAAGTATAAAGTCAGATGTTGCATGGCATTCAAATAGGACAATACTTTCCCCAAAGCCAGGACACAGCAGTATCTGAAGAAAAGACATTAAAATAAATTCTTTCAGCTATCCAAGAAAATCAAAAAGTATGTGTTATGAAAACATACATATTGCAGAACTTTTCAATTCCCCCTTTTACTCTGGGAGCATGAAATTGTCACACATCAAGTTAGCACATCAAGTTATGACTGAATCTGAGAAGTGTATCATCACACAGGACTCCTGAAATCCTGAACAGTGTTCTAGGAGATCAAGTAGGAAAAAAATAGAAATAAGGAATTTTGGCAAAAAGTATGGGAAAATCTGGATAATATCACTGCACCAGAATTTACTGAATTTAAGACATTCTCAGAGAATACAAAATGAAATAAATGTAAGCTCAAGAATTTGTGAAAAGGAAATTAATCAGAAGATGTAGAAGTCATGGAAGTGTAGCTGGGCAGCTGCAAACAACTGAAAAGATAATGGACAATAGGAAGAAAAATCGTTTTTCTAGACTAGACTGAAAAGAGTAGATATGCAAAATTAGACTAGGAGAGAGCTGCGCAAGTAGCCAAAGCAGATTGCTTCATATGACATCTTCAGCATGTAATTATTTTCAGATACATACAGCAGTCCTATTCCTACAACACTTACGATTAAGAGTACATGATTAAATGTATGATTACTTTGACTTTCCAGTTCTACCTCAGCTACAGAGCTCGCAGAAGATGGAAAGACACACAAAACACCTGATCTTTGCGTAAGCACACAGAAGTGCATTTTCACAGAATAAAATATTAAACCTTGAGAACCTGTTTCCTGTTGTTTCATGTCATCTCCAATATTTACCACACTGGCATTGCATGGCAGTGATGGGGATCCCTGTTCTGTTTCATTGTTATCTGAAAAACAGAAGAAGTCTTTTCAGACGTTCAGATATTTTATATGTCATAATACTCATCAAGTTCACAGGTTTGCTCTGGGGCATCAACTCCCTCCTTCACTGGACTTCAGAGTACCCATTTGGCAAATGGAATCTGGCATGGGTGAAGAAACATCACATTTCAAAGATGTTGTCTTCTGCTAATGCTTTGCCTTCTCCAATGAGTTTCCAATGAAAAAAAACCAACAAAAAAACCCAGCAGATCTATCACTACTTGCATTTCTGTGACTGAATGAAAATACATCTAAATTTAACATTCTTTAACATTCCTGTGCAACTATTTTTTTCTCTCTTTATGCAATTCAGAAAGCTGAAAACAAAAAATGCTTCAGCCTGGGAGACCTGCATACCTGGCACACTCTTCATACATAGAAAACCTCTCCAACCACCAAGTTCTGCTATGTATGTTGCTGCCTGTCAGATGTCTTGAACCCTATTGGCTGGAGAAACAGCATTCTGAACACTTGGTCTATGCTTCTTGTTAAAGGGAGGAGTAAGAGGATGACATACAGTAAAATGCTACTGGCTCTTTGAAAATCTTGTGTGAGATGGGGATTAGGCCTCCGTTGATTACTTGTGACATACTGTCACTGACATCAAACTATAACACAAGTAGCTGTTTAGCACTTCCAGCATTCAAACTGATTTTCAAGATGTGGCACATATACTTAAATATGTGCAGAGTATGTAAGATAAAGCTGCACTAATTTCATGTCATCAGCAGTAAAATTACTACTGGTCTTTGACTTCTGAGCATTTTACACAAGCATCATCAACACCACATCAGCCCCTTAATACAGACTACTCCTCTCATACCTGTAGCTTGTAACAAGCAAGAGTAAAAGGCGATGAGATTGATTATGCTCATCAAGGAGGGTCTTTCTCTGCTTGCTTTTGAATACAGCTCTCACCCTTGAGCATGAATAAAACATTTGCTACCTTTTTACCATTCAAAAAGTTGCAGGATCAAAGTCTTGAAACAATTCAGCCAGAAGTGCAACGAAGGAAAGAACTTTCAATACTCACTTTGAAAATGTAGCAAATAATACCACTGTGGCTAAAAGATTAATCAAACCATAGTAGACGAAATTCCACCCTCATGTGCAGCAGCTCTGCCATCTGTAACAGCTATCCAAAATGAATCAGGCCCATTTTATTTCCAGTTTGCATTTGAGAAGAAAAATGTTTCAAGCCAACTTTACAGCAAAGCCAGTTTTAATTACCTTTGGCTGTGGTACCATCCATTGTTTGGAATAGTAAGTCTTTTTCAACAGGAGCACTTAAGTCCTCCTGGGGTGGAATACGATTTTCCTGCTTAAGACCTCTTCTGATCAAAGTGAGCCGAACCGTTTGTCCTGTGTGCCGCAAAACGTCAACTGCTTGCTGGTTAGTAAAACCCTGAAGATTTGTTCCATCTACCTGCAGGATTAAGCAGCTTTTCAGTTCACCCAGGGAGAAAAAGCTCAGGGCAAAACAAGGCAGTGAGTTCTCACAACTGTTAGCCTAAGCAAAAAGCAAGTGGAGGGGCAAGAACAAAACCTGTATAACTTTATGTAATTGGATATGCTAGGCACACCCACTGGAGTACACCAGAGCTAGGTGACAACCAACACCACAGCAAAGAGGGGAGGAGTGCCCACCATGGTGCGGCCAGGCAGATTTGCTCTGCAGCGTGGGAGAGGATACAACACGTGCTGTGAAGGCCATATTGTGCAGTCTGTCTGCTCAACCACTTCAGCCATCCCTACCTCTGAGGAGAATACACTGGGTGAATAAACCAACACAGCCATGGCTAGGAGTTCTGGAGAGAGTAGAGTTAAGGAGAGGCACATCAATCCACTGTGGCAGAAAGACCTACAGCGTGCAGTCATTCTGAGGTCAAGTAAACTTAGATACAGAGAAGTCAACTGATGACACTGTGAAGTCCAATTTCCAAACAGAACACTTTTGCAACCAATCAGATGCTATTGCTGGTTCATCATTTTAATAGTTTAAACAATAAAATTTTGTTCTCTTCTGTTTGAAAATACTTGATTATCTCATTAACTTAGTTTTTTTTCTGAAATTCAAAACCTTGGCATTTCTCAATTCTATCCCATTATCCCTAGCACCCACCATATATTATTCTTCTTCTCCCTGCAAACTCCATAATATCCTATTATTCCTCCATCTACCCAACAGTGCCTTAAATTTCTCAAATACTTCTTACAATACTATGCTCTTTGACTCCTGTATTCGTTTCTGCCTATCTACACAAAACACATACTTTATTATTTCAAGTCCTCCTAAATGAAGACTAAATCCCCTGGACCCTCAGTCATTTCTACGAAATTATTCTAGATCTAAAGTAACTAAAAATGAGGTAGGGCTATTTAATTTTTCCTCCACATTTAAACCATATTTTAAAAATATTTTTTATTCTTCTGTGTCTGAGATCACCCAAATAATTTTCTCCTTCTTCATCTGCAGCAGAAAAAGGAAACTGGAAAAATCTGTTTAAGCTGTTTGTACTCACTATGTAAATCATTAAAAGCGAGACATATACTTTTACAAACAAACATGCAGGCACTTCTGGAGAGAGACCATAACCTGTTCTTAGTGCTATCTTCACACAAATGCAAGGACAGATCTATGAGCGACACAAAAATGCGCTCCCTGCATTCAGGATCCAATTTCCACCACAAACCAACAGTTTATGGATGAAACTATGGTCTTCTTTCTCTGAATACCTCAAATCTTATTGACACATTTTTTAAATAATTTCGAAAACAGTTTCCCAATTTGAATCAAATTTTGAAATTTCACACTTACTAACCTCCTACAGATATATAATGATATACTCTCACATACGATACAGGTTTTTTTAAGAAATATAAGTTACGTGCTGGTAGCATAATCAAAAAAGCATGTGATGAAATACTCTGCCAGAAAAGGACTCAGAACTGCAACACTGATCCCAGGTATTTTAAACTAGTCCTACATGAGCATTTCTTAACAACATAAGAAGCAGTCTTGTAGACAAGCAATCTCCCTTCTTCCTGTGTTTACTTACAACAATAATTTGATCTCCCACATGGATTCTGCCGTCATGTTCAACAGCACTGCCTTTTGTAATGCTTTTCACAAAGATACCAGAAGGTTCTGGGATGAAAAAATGGGAAAATTAATTTAACTGATTTCTTAAGAAACTATTTGCAATGCAACTAAAGGCACCAGTCAAAGCAGGGGAAAAAAAACAAAAACCAATATAACACAATCTCTAAGTAAGATAGTAATAATAAAGATAATCATAAAGAAAGCAATAATTTAAGAAAAATGTACCTATTATTATCATCTTAAAGAGTGAGCCAGATTAATGACTGCTTGCATTGGATCAATTTCATCCAAAACCTTAAAATGCCAAATTCACAATTCTTGATGAAAAACAAGAAATATTCTAACTTACTTTAATCTAAATGTTGAAACCAACATAGACAAAAACATAGCTCTGACTTTTGCCAGATCTGGACAGAAAATTCAGCTTGAGTACACTAATCTGGTAATTTCTGAATTGTCTATGTACTTAATAGCAACTTAAGAAAATCCACGTTTGGATTGCTAAATCAAGAAAATGATAAGCAAACTAAAAAACTACAACTTATGTTTTAACCAGTTTTTAACTGCAGTATTCACTATTCGATAAAAAGATAACAAAGTTTTAAAAACCCCAACAAAAAAACTAAATTAAACAAAACAATAGCCCATCAAACAGAAACAGTTACTAACTAGTTACTAATTATTATTGAATCAGAAGGAAATATAGAGGAAACACCTATGGAAGGATATTTTACTAAAAAAACATTTCAGGAAAAACACACTTGCCTTTGAAATAAATTCAACAGCTCAATAAAGTGAAAATATATGGAGTTCCTACATGCACATTTTGTACAGCTTACATGAAATCAGGAAAAATAATAGTATAAACTGGCATGAAATAACTCTGATGGTCTCAGGCCCGTAACAGTGGTATCAGACTCAATATGACAAGAATTGTGAGAAAGGAGGGTTAATGACTCAATTCAGCTTAGGAAAAATAAGATTACATATATATTCCAGTCACCGCATCAAAAAGTCCCTCTTTTCCTCTGTCTGTCTGTCTGTCTGTCTATCTATCTATCTATCTCTCTCTTTCTCTCTCTCTCTCTCTCTCTATATATATAGATATTATTTTTTTGGGGGTGGCGGGGGGAGAAATGTGAACTGGGTTTTTTTTATCTGCCCAGGTTTTGTGCATAATTAAATAGCTGGTCCTCCTAACTTCAAAGTATGATATTTGTTGTCCAGTAGTTTTATTGCTGCTTCTTTGACAGGAAAGTTGTTCTATAACTGTTATGTCACAAAATTGAGTTACCTAATTAGTTTCTGAGGCAAGAATATTCTCTAACATAGTTACAAGCAACACAGTAATTTCAAACTGAAGACTAGTGATACCCAAACACTAAATCAGTTAAAATATGCTCTCAGATTTATACATGTTCTACATCATAATTTTGAAGATTCAACTGGAAGCTGCTAAAAAGTGGGCTTGCACAAACTGTGCCTGTCTGGTCCCATAGAAGTCCAGTTTTTTCTCATCCAAAAATTAATAGCTGTAAACTGCCAAAAACATGGAAAGTATCTATCTATCTAGCTATCATTTTTTGAACAACATACACATGGATACAAGTCAAATAAACAGCTCTTTGAGAAGCTTTATGACACATTTAAGAGACATCCTTTCCTTGCAATATTCAATTTGCCAAATTTCCCCTAAAGAGGCCTAACAGAGTTCCGAATTATTCTTATGAAAAATGTAGTGGAAATTACAAAGTAAAAATAAGCAACTGTCCATTAACATTTTTGCATTTATTTATTTCAATAAACTTATTACTGTCTGCCACAGCCCACAGGTGAAGAAACATTTGTTGCATCCAGAAGTCATTAAAGAAGTCATGATATGCTAGCAGCAGCATACACATTGTTTAAAAATTAATAAGAAGCTCTTAAGACTACTTAGAATGCTACTGTGTTGCCTTGTAAGAAGGCTACTTCTAAGAAAAAGGGCTCAGCCTATTTTGCCACTGATTTTCAAAAACATGTAAACACAAGTTTAGCCAAAAGCAAAGATAAAAACTGATTTAAAAATACCGAGGTAGGATTTTATCATAATATCAATTGCTTTTACTCTGAAAATCCTTCTTACAAAAGGAAACCAATTATTTTTTCTTTACAGATTTTAAATAGATTTTATATGGTTAAGGATTCTTTTAAGAGAAGATATACCAAGATTAAGTCTTTGATGCATACATACCATAGTATGCAACAGACTGAATAATAAAGTGCAGGAATCAACAATTACCTGATGTCTTGTCTCCAATGTAACCTGCAATAGTTATTCCTAAACCCTGGTTGTTTTTAGTGAGTTCAACATTGAATTTCTCCCCATCTTCACAGCTGTCAACAGAAGCATCATCCTAAAAAGAAAAGGGGAATTAGAAATGAAGCTTTCCTTTTTTAAAGATTCACAACATTCTTTAATGTCAGTAACACATAAAATTAGACACAAACACAAAAAAGAAAGCATGAAATTTGCTTTGTTCTGTTCTGTTCATCAGAGAAGCAAGAAACATTCCTCATTAGCATTCCTCATGGTAAACAAATGCAGGGCAGGTCATGTCCTCACCCCACTACTCTAACATATCAAATCATTATTTAATGACCAAAATGACTGGTGAAAGGTGTACAAATTGAACAATGAAATTCGTGTACAGTAAGTTATATTCATATACATATATATATATATATGAATATGTAGCTTGCTGCCTTTCTGGAACTTCCTCAGAACTAACTTGAGATTGGTGTGTTATCAAAAACAAGAAAAAGAACCCCCAAATTGTATTTTTTATTCTATTTCTAAATTTCTAAGTCTAAATTTCTGCTCATTAACTACAGGTATCCTTTTAAAACTTGCAAGTTTCAAATATGCCAAAAGGTATCACTTAGGTAATTATATTTCTTGCTCTTGAAATGCTTAAAAATTTTGTTTTAGCACATATCAATTATACTTCCAGCTAGCTAAATAATTACAATCTTCATTAACACCTGCTATAACTCTCAGAATTTCAGTAACAACAGATTTTTGCACTATTTAATTACTTGTTATTAATGAAAGTGGAACACATATTAAAATCCTATTTTAACAATAAGGTGTTTGTATTAAAAGTTTTTATTCTGTCCCTTCTGCATGCCAATGGAGACTATTTTTTTTTTTAAGAGCCAATATGGCAACCTGGCAAATACTAACTAAACCCAGTTTAAATAGGTAAGTATGTGCCAAAAAAGACTTCAAGAGAGCTATCATGCTACTTGCCAGAAGAGAATCAGACTTGAGCTCTGATAAAGTATCTCTTTATCCAAGCAACTCCACCAGAAACCAAATTAAACACAAGAAAAATAAATGTTTAATACATTAATCACCCCTCTGATTGAAAATACAGGATTATTTTGGCTACAGGTAATGCCACTAAAAAAAGATCCAATTCCTATAGCCTCATGAATTTTTATAGAATAGGCATCTGCAGGTAACACGACAAGAACTGCCATTTTGCAAAGCCATTCTGGTCTAGTTTTAAAAGCATCATGAAGTTTAAGAGCATCCATCCACACTGTATCAGATAGGAAGGAACAAAAAAATTAAACTGTTTGAATCATCATCTTCACTTCAGATCCAAATCAATGAGTTTTACATGACTGTTAACAGGGTGCTCCTTCCAAGAATGTGACTTTGTGTCAGTTCAAAAATAGCCTGACTCCTGCCAGGGGAGAAGCACCAGGAAAGAGGTATTGAGAAGTATGGAAATTGGGAAGGTGGCAAAAACCTTAAGTTGCACCCCTTTGCTGCTTTGAGCTATTTTGTAAGTATTAGAAATCATATATATTTTGTAGCTGCAGATACATTTTTTAACATTGCATCACATAACCTCAAAAAGGCAAATACTGCAGAAATACACACATATTAAATTATCAAATTCAGCTTTTGAGAGATGCATTTCAGACAAGCAACACTAGGGCTAAACATCAATCCCTTTATCTAAAATGCAGAAAGGTTTTACATCTCTGAGTGCTGTAAAGACACAAAAGTACTAGTTTGTCTCTCGTCTTCAATGCTCAGAAGCCTCTGTGTTAAGATTAGCTTTCTTTGCTTTATAGCCACTAAACAAGGGGATGAATATATGTTAGGTTTTCACAGATATCACTACAATGGACAGAGACAAAATGATGGTATCACCATCATAAATTGTTACATAACAATCATGCATAAATGGCAAAGACTTTTTCTCTTCTGATGTGACTTGTCTCAAATCTACATTACAAATGAAAAAAATGTCTAGAAAAACAACAGGAAAAAGTAAAACAAAAAATTCTATCTAGGAGTAGGCTCAAAACCAAACCTTTTATTCTCTCATTAATTTACTTCATGTATTAACATTTAAATGTACCTAGTCATAGCCACATGTGGCAAAACAGTATTGATTCTGACTCCCATGAAACCAGACTGTTACAAAGATACAAATTATCTGCTTTATAGAGATCTTGAGTTGACATGTCATGATAATATTTACAGCATTTTTAAGTGGCTGACATTTATAGAGAAGTAACAACACAAAGTACGATCATCAGCAGGGGGTAAGGGCAGCAGCTGGCTTACTTTTTTTAGAAAACATCTAGCAAATGAGCAATGACAGGTGATGTAGGAAACGATTAGCATCTGTGTGCTGGTGCAGGGAGAAAAGTTCTGATGAGCAGATGAAATTATATGGAAAGAAAAAGGGCAGGCAGAGAAATGCTGAAGAGTCATTAGTCATAGATCTGTCCTGAAGAAAAGACTGCATTGTTTCAGGTTTCCCAATGTAATAACAAACCCTTATAAATAACCCAGAACAAGTTGCTAATCAGATTATACTTATGGAAGTCCTAAACCTTAATCCCAAAAGTCTTCAAGAATACAGCCCCTTGCACCATGGACTCATTAGATTCAAATTCTCCCAGACTGTCAGACGAGAATAGTGCTACTGGGAAAGAAAATTCTAGCGTTTGAGAACCTAAACACAGAAGACATTCAAATAGCAGTTAAAAAGAAAAGAAGTTTGCAATGAGTTACGTATGTTTACTGTTGCTTACCTGTTTCTCTGGGGTAGAGGTGGGTACTGGTGTACCTGGAGGAACTGCTGGTAGAAGTGACTCCTCAACAGGACCTCTTGCAATTACCAGTTTCACTCTATTTCCACACTGCCTTAGAACTTGTGCCACCTGCTCACTGCTCATCCCAGCTAGGTCTGTATCACCAATTTTTAAGATGTGATCTCCACTACATAATCTTCCATGCTGATGGAAAAATAATGAAAAAATGGCATTTGTCCCATGTACCACACAATTAGAAAAAAAACCACATAGCTTTAGTCACTTCTAAGACATATGAATCAGGTAACATTTTTTGTATAGCAAGTCAATATCTTAATAACATGGAGAAGAAAAGAAGGTTGACTAATGGCACATGACTTTTTCTAGGAGTTTCCCCAGAAATATCTAGGACATCCTTTTTAAAGATGTCACTCAAGCACAGAGAAAAAAATGTGTTTAGCTATGGTTACTCCTGGTATTTAACAACTACATGTAGACTGCAGAACTTTGGGTATAATTTTCACGCACATTTCCAAAAAACAGATACAAACATATAATCAAACTTACATAAAAACACATACATACAAACAACAAAACAGATAATCAGCTTTGCATTGATACTAAAAAACTAGAAGTAGTAACAGGATTAACCATGACTTCAAAATGAAATTAATTTCTCTCTTCCTGTGATCCAGCTATCTAAACTGCTTTACAATGATTTAATCTCTTACTGATTTACCTTTAATTAATAAAAAAGCTTCACATTAATTTAGGCCATATGACGAGTGTTACAGAGACAGGTTTGTAAAAGGATCTATATGTTCATGGAAAAGAGGACAGCAGTAAATTCTGTCCATTCACCTCCAGGCCCTGTTATCAGGCCACTACTGCTATTGTTGGAAGACTGACCAGTCTCTGTGTCTATTCAATCCTTGACCATCATTAATGCAGCCCTAAGTACCTGTCCAATGAACTAGCTTGAAATGAGCTGTGATAACCAAATTCAATTCACATGAACCCTTCAGGCAAGAGCAGAGCTTGTGTCTTGGAGCAGACGTGAAGCCACATACTTCAGTAAGCTCAGCAGAGAAAAGCAGATGCTCTTAGCTTTTAGACACAGCAAGTCAATCTTTGGAGTCCTCATCAGCCCTGATTACAACCAGTACACTTGTGAAAGAATTAAGACTCTAAATGCACAAAACATACAAAATGTTACAGATTTGAAAATGTGATTTAGAGCCTAATCCATCTTGAACATCCAAATGTGGAGACTCTGCACTAAACACATGTTTAAACACAGAGAGGAAAAATGTGTAGTCACTATTTAATTTTTCAGATTTATTCCGATTAAAGCTACCACTATTTGGTCTGCTAATAAAAGTAAAGAGTAACTTCACACCTTAGTGAACAGTAACAGAGAAGGAGGTTGAATTTACCTGATCAGCCACCCCTCCTGGAAGGATGGTTTTAACAATCACTCCAGTTGACTTTCCTCCCACTATCCCGAATCCCAGACCTGAGCCATCATTCACCAGCTCTATGGTCTCCACATGCTGCCAGTGAACCTAAAAGGAATAAATATAAGCTTGCATATTATTAAAAACACAGAATCATAGAACTGTTCAGGTGTAAAAAGACCTTTAAGATTATCAAGTCAAACTACTAATATATGAATAAGAATTTTCAAGTTATTTTCTCTTATTTCTTGAGTATGTTTTTGATAATGTAATTGGAGGAAGACAGACATATTGTACCTCTTTAACAATTATTATTAGGTGTGATATTACACAATATTTAATCAGCAAATTACTAATTCTAAGTACTTCTCTGGTATAAACCAGAGTGGGGTAATGGGTCAGACTTTTCAAGGACTTGTCAAATGAATTTAGGCAGCAGCCTAGGGCTGCCCACCTTCATGCCCCTTTCCAGTCAGTAAATACTGCTGCTAGAAAACCACACAGGACTGGAAATTAAAATTTTCAGATAAGTACATGTTCGCATCAGCCATTATAACAAAGCACAGTAGAAGGAAAAATCCCAATTCGGTATTTTTATGGCTGAAAGCAAACCCAAATATTGTGAGGCAGGTAGTAGCAGAATTACCCCATGTAATAAAGTCTTCTGGGTTTTCTGATGGCAATAGCACTAGAATGAAGTCACCGTGATGACAGACTTTGTGTTCTGACAGGACCAAAACTTTTCTGAAAGAAAGACAAATCCTGGCTCACTTGCATGGAGCACTACTCGAAGGGACAGCTGGAAGCTGATGGTATTCCTTCTGCTGAAGAACTCACACAGAAAACTCATCTGAAATTTAAAACTACAGCTGGTGCTATACCAGCTATAATCTTGAAATAAACTTTTTTTTTTTGAATAATCAAGGTACTGCAAACTCAAAGCCCTGTGGTACATGTTTGACAATCCAGTCTTAAAATAAAATCAGTATGATAAAGCAAAGCCTGAAAGAAAAAGAACGGCTCCTAGTATGTTGCGTGTGAAAGCAGAGAGAACATGAGAGTTGGGAAAGGAATGTTAAAAAAAACAGAAGACACTATGGAATGTTTGTAAGGACCATATTTTCAAGCAAGGGAAGCTGTTCAGTTAACACAGAGGCAATCACATGGAAAAAGAAGTTTGTCACAGGAATAGTGGAAGAGAGCAAGCCTCTCCTATGTGCTGGCAGGAGAAGTCAGGTCAGTCAGCTGCATTCCTGCACACAGATAAAAGGAATAGTTCTGACATTCCTTCAGTAAAGGTTTTATGCTAATGATTAAAAAACCCTCTAAAACAGTTCCTTTTTTGAGACTGATTGCTCTCTATATTTCTGGTGGTTGATTCCCTTAAAGAAGGGCTATAGATGACTCAACAGTAAAACCTCCATAAACCAAATATAGGCTGTTTCATTGCATTACATGAGTAAGATAAGGGGAAGAGAAATTACAGTTAATATCACCATCTTTATGAACTGTGTTGTCTACACCTAGATGTGCAGAAGCTCTCATAAGAAAGGAATTGAAGCAGAGCTGCTTTTTGGGGACTCCTTAAGTACATCTCTTAACTTTACTGGAGCTCCCACTCTAACAGACAACAGAGAAACAAACACAAAAGCACCCATCCAGGTGGTGATGCAGATCAGATTACAATGCCTCAAGAAATTGCTTGCTGAAGCAAAAGGAAAAGAAAAAACTATCCTGTTTACTGCAGCTTCAAAATAAACCTTCATCAAGTAAGGTAAACATGCTGTATTTGCACTTGTGGATACAGATAATTTGGCAGATGGGAGCAAGGAATGCATCCAAGATGAAGATTTTTTTCCCCAGCAAGCCTGAATATCTTCTGCTCTTTGTAGGGGAAAGGTACAATGAAGATAAATTGAAGAAAAACCTCAAGTACTGTGAAGAAATGTACATACAAGTTACAAAAAAAATTACTCAAAAGAGTATATGCAGTATGTGCATGTCCAGAACTGAATACACAGATGTTTGGGCTGTACTCACCGGGTTGGAATGGGCTGAAACAGTGCTAGCAGCAGATGGAGACCGGGAAACCACAGGACTGATGAGCTGAGGATAAGTGCCTCTAGCCACAACTAGCTGGACATTATCTTTTGCTTTCTGCAAAATGCTGATAGCCTGTTGATGTGTAATTGTCTGATCAAGGGCTTGTCCATTAATAGCAAGGATTTGATCTGCTTCCTTCAGCTTTCCATCTCTGTCACATAGGTGTAAACAGGAAGGGAGATAACAAAATAAATAAGAAAAATCAAGGAAACATTGCCACTGAAAGAGCAGTATTTTGACAACTTTCCAGAATTTTTAATAACCTGGTCTCTATTCCCCACCTCCTCCTCCTTTTTTAATTCCCCCCTGCAGTCTTGCTGAAAGGAGATGATGTGGCATCCTGGTGATCGCTCCCTTTGAAGCTAATTCCACTGCTATTTTCCCCTGGCTACTACCCCCTATCCAGTGTTTTTCTCCCTGAACCCCCATGCGAGACTAAGCATATTAATCTCAGTTGCTCCCAGCCACAGCCTGGGAACTTATGTTTATCCTTGAATTTGAGCCTCTTGCTTTACAGACTAAGTGCTCAACTTTGTTCAATGCAATCATTCTGAATATTCATCAAACCATGGGGTGGAACACACTTTCATCAATATGTTACAGAAACAAATTTTGTTTTGTTGAAATATAAATAAAAAATAAAAAAGAGGACAAAGAAATAAAGAAATCAAACAAAAATGGTAAAATAGACCCCTTTTATACAATGGGGAAAAAAGCCCTGAACAAATTAAAAAAACCTCTTCACCTTTCTAACAAAAGAAATGTTACTGTAAAATTACATACTGAGTCCTTCCTCAGATCTGCTCCAAAGCAAGTGTATGAAGTCTACACAGTTGAATTACCCTCTCTTTTCTCCACTATTTACTTGCATCCCAAAGTGACAATGCTTAGATAACAAAGAGCAGCAAGGATCTCTATTACAGCAGCCTTTGTAAGCACCTACACTGTAGAAACCCAGGTAGAACACTCAGGAAAAAAAACTATTTAGCTTCAACTTATAGTATTTCATTTGTGAATTTGAACTGTTTTCAGAGTGCTCTCAAAGACTTAATACTGCCAGAGCCTTTCTCATTTATAAGCCCTGTAACAGTTGCTGAATGTTCTTTTTCTTGACAGTAAATCAGGCAGGGCCTGATTCAGTAGATAGGTCTCATCTCCAAGCAGTAAGTGTCAAATGGGAAGGAAACAAACAAACAGAAAAGAAACAAAACAAAACTCATCTAAACCAAACCAAAAACAAACAAAAATAGAAAGTGGAAATTAGGCACAGAAGGTAAATTCTCCAATGTTGTAGAGATATAAATCATGCCACATTTTCTAAGTGGTTGACTACAATTTACTCTGTATACCATGTTCTTGTCTCTTTTGCCCACGTTCTTATTAGACTTACAGTGTTCAGATCACAAATAATCCAAAAATAGCTCCCTAAAACACAGTGTGAAACAGCATCAATGTGACTCAGTCTCTCCATACAACATATGGAGTACTTCACAAAGCAGCTTGGGCCAGGGTCCTGAGTAGTGACACACCTTACCAGACTGCAGTGAAACACTGCTGCAGCCATTTACCACTGAGTTTGTGTGCTCCCTTGGGCACTTTATTCAACATTACCTGAGGAATCCAAGTGTAAGTCTAAAGCATACTTTCAGCAAGCTATTATTATTGCTAAACTTATGTAATATCAGCTGAGTATTTCTGTAAATATCCCTGACTTTAGATCAAGACTTGCTTGACTTCAAATCTTGTTTTCATAGCTGCTTAATAGAACTCTACCTAATAAATAAGACTGCTAGATACAGCTGACTTTTTTGCATCAAATAGTTCTTCAGTGCATTGAACAATGACAAAATATGTATTTCAGTTTTAAAAGACGTGACACAGAACAGTAGCTTCCCCTTTTTTCCTATTTAAAAACCCAAGGGAAATGTCATTTGTAGTTTCTCTGACTTAAGAACAGTTCATAGGATGCCTGTTCCAACATTATATAAATTGTGGCAAGTAATTTTACATTTGCAATGACACTCAGAATATGAAGAGAGAAACATGCCCTTGTACCACAAAAATAACAGCAGTAACACAACTGTGTTACTGAGTCACATTAACACTTGGTATAGTAAAATATTCAGTAATAATATTACCTGTGTGCCACACTTCCCTCCTGGATTTCTTGCACAAATATTCCTAGTTCTCCCCTGTTTTCACTCTTGAGTCCCACAACACTGAAGCCCAGACCACCACTTAGAGGTTTAATAAGGTCAATTGTCTCAACCAGACGACCCTGTTCAGCAGAAGTTAAAAAAAAGGGTACAAATGTTAAAAGGTTTAAAATGAACAAAGGTTAAAAATGTTGAAAAGCAATCATAATAAATGTGGCAAACAACTTCGAAATTAATTTGTAATGGCAACTATAGCTGGACAAGACTATACAAGCTACTAACTGAAACATAGTTGCTCATTTCCAATTTCTTGCTATCATACAGAAAATATTTGAGAAATAAATATTATTACAGCCTAGAAGAGGAAATCAGGATACAAAAGTTAAATATATGGAGTTTTGGTTTAGTAGTGACTGAAGTAGGATGTATTTCTATTTTAGAGGGTACAGGACAACTTTCAAGCAAATCCAGAAAAAGGATGAATTTCAGAAAGATGGAAAAAAGTTGGATTATGCAAAAAGGCTCTCCTGACACCATTAGACTTCTCCTACCCTGCTCTATTACAGATTAAATAGATACATCCTAGAATATATGCCTGGGCATTCCCAGCTACAACCACTGAAGGGACTCATGCACCATTTCTGCCTACTACAGGAAAGCAGTAAAATTACAGAACAGTGCACAGCAAGGTCATTCTATTTTATTTCCAAGAAAGTCATAGAACTAGCTTTCATTAATTATGCATAAAAAAGCATGCTCTAACAAAGTATATCCCTCATGCATAGAGCAGTAGCTCTACAATGAGCATGGAAAAATAATGGCATACTGATCTGTAATACACAGACAATGGCCAGCTAAGGAACAGCAGCTCATGAGTGACTATGCCAGGGCTAGTTTTTCAACTGCCTCCTCATTTACTAGTTGTTTCTCAAACTGAAAGGTTACTTTTATTTTATACAGTAAGTGGAATTGTAGTTTGTGTAGTAATTCAATTGCTTTTAAATATAAATATATCTTAGTCTTCATATAATCAGTAATGCATATTTTGTGGTTATTGTATGACAGGGTTACCTGGGACATGTTTCTGATCAGCTGCTCAAAGTCATCACTAGAAAATTTCCCATTAATCTGAGGAGTAATGGATCTCATTGATGCCTCTAACACATCAGCTGGGCTACCATTCTGCTGAGCCAACAAATATGACTCATTAAGTGGCAAGGACCCCATGTTCACACCATGATGGAGAAGCTGAGGGAATTCACCGCTGGAATGTATGGAAGGTGTAATATTTACCTGTAAAAGATTGAAGGAACATGGATTTACAGACACAGCAGAAAACTTCTCATTAGGTAAGAACATTATCATATGCCAGCTGATCATTATAAGTACCTGAAATTCCAATTTGCAATTTTAAACAGACATTTTAAGAAGAAAATTAACCTTCAATATTTATACCCTATGTAAAATTGTGAACTACAAGTATAAAACACTAAATAAATTGATTAAAACAACCTCAAATTATTTTCCATATTCTGTCTAAAATTCACTTTTTCCCACAGCATCTTGAAGTATTCCATCACTATGTTACAGGTAAAAAAGAACATTTTTTTTCTACAGTACCAGTAATTAAGGGAAAAAAAACAAAACACTAAAACCACAAAAAGCAAAGAAACAAAAAAACCAACCAAAATGAAAAAAATGTTATCAGTTATTTTACAATAAAAAGAAAAGTATGCACATATTGAAAAAATAATTAAATCTCACAGCTACACAGAGAATTTCACTGGTTATGATTTCCGCATAACTGTGTTCTAGAGCAAGCAATGTGACTATCTGCATGAGCTAGGATTAAATACAAGATTACTGAATAAGTCTAAAACCACTAGGCTGATCTGAATACGTTTACACAGCCAGACTTTACAATCCACTTTTCTTAGAACAGAAAAGAAAGTAAGAAAATCCTCAGTTTTGCACAGCCACAATAGATCACCTCTTTTCAAGCAGATCTGTGCCAATCTATCTAATGAATGGCTGCTGGCGATATGAAGCTCAGGTAAAGCAGAAACCTTAATTTATCTTCTGTCCCACTTGCCTGCTGACTGTCAATTGGTACTGCTTTACTCCAGACAAATTTGCTTCCCACTTGCCTGGTACACTATTATATTGCAATTTCAAACACTTATCCTTTTTTCACAATGCACACTTTCTAACATTCTGCATCACAATACAGAAACCTAAGGCTCCCTTTCCTTAGTCACATTTTAAACTTCAAGTACCAATAAAAATTTCAAAACAGTAGATATATTCTAAAATGTCTACTACACCAGTCTCAATTGTTCAAGCATGTTATATCTATTTGGTTTATCCTATCAGTCCTCCAACAGTCCAGTTATTAGAAGGTCAATATTGTCCTCCATCATAGAATTCCATCTCATCTGAGTGTTTTAGGAAAATGCAATATAACAAACATAATTTGTTGAACAACTTATATGGCTGGGAGGTCCTCAAGTTAAAGAAAAAATACCACAAGGCAGCATTAGAAAAAAAGAGTTCTCAACAGCATTTTTAAGCCTGTTCTGACATAAAAAAACTGCAAAGAAGAAAATCTGGATGTTTGGAACTCAGTGATTTTTATATCACATTGATAATGTTCTTAATCTGTACTTGTGAGGAATCATTTGGGTTATGTTTCAAACAAATTGCAACACCTAAAATCCACACATATGCATTTTCTTTAACCACATACATTCGTGCTGACAAGCTTGTAAGGCACAGGTAGACAAGCTTTGTTTCACAGTTCATTTCATAGAACACCACCCAGAGACTTAATCGAATTCTGCCCTTCTGAGAATATAAGACTCCCCCTTACATTATATGAATGGATTTGAAACTAGTAAGGTCTGTGACATGCTTGTGTTTCTTACCTGCATAAGGTCATATAACAGGTTAATTCACTTCTACCTTCAATAATATTGTCCATTTCGAAACTCTAAAACTGAATTTGCTCAATTATGTATTTTATTTCTTATTCTCCTCCACTTTCAAATCTTCTTATAGAGCCTGTTCTGCTTCTTCTCACAAAAAATGGTCATTGGTGAAATCATTAACCCTAGGAGTATCTAACATTATTCAATTAACCACTCTTAACTGGTTATACTAAAAATATTTTTACATTTCTACAAGCAATATAAAGCAGCCTGAGAACATGAGATGCATACCTGAACTAGGTTTCATGTGCACCAAAAGACCACAGGATACAGGTATGATGTCACAAATGTTAGTAAGTCATAAATTCAAGCTCATTTTCTAAATTGCAGTGCTCATTGCAGAAAACAGCACTGAGCTACCCTTTCTGCTGAAGGTTATCATCCTCAGAGCACTCTTGGTCAAAGCAGTCCCTAGGGAATTAATCACCTGCTCTGGCAAAGCCAGGCAAAGTTAGCCTAAACAAAGAACAGAATAGTACAAGTAAAACCTACCAATTTTATCCAATGTCAATCTGTGTGAGCTCACTAAATTACTTTGATGGACCATTGGGAGTGGTAACTTCAAACTAAGTGAGTCAGGCTCAGCAGCTGAGCATGGTAATGACATCAATCAGTATGATTGCACCTTGAGAAAAATACCTTAAATGCCTCCAATTTCATTTACCACCATTCTAACTGTATTATTCTGCCCTGGGGGTCTTTTACTGTGGTAGGAGTTTCTGGACGTTTCATGTTTCAGGGTGGCAGAAGGGGAGAGTCATTGGTATTACTGATAGTCTTATAAAACCCAACTGTGTGTGAATTCCGCCCTTTGAGTAGTCATTTTCTAAGACAAAAAAAAGACAAAAGAAGGAAAATTCTATAATAATGCTAAAAGTAAAATTTGAGACCATGTACAGAAAGCTAGAACACTTCTTAATTTACAAAGAATGAGCCATGCAGGCAAAAAAGGAGAGAAACAGAATTTTATATTACAGAAACTGACTGAATCCATTGCATTAAATTTATTCCATGTCACCACGCAGTGTTTCAGACTGCTAACACAGAGACAATCCCAGTTTGTGGAACCTCTCTCTGCATAAAAAGCCTATGTCTTCCATGTAACTTTCATGTAACACTTCTTTACACACAAATGTGTAGGGAGCAAGTTGCACTAGAAAAGTCATGCACAAAAATTGATGTCAAGCTACAGTAATTAAAATTATGGCAGTTTTGGAATAGCATGAATGTTATTCCACTATTATAGTAGAATATATATTACTGCTCACAGTATGTTTGCATTATGGTACTTTTTTCTCTAATACTAATAAAAGACTTTCTGTATGCATAATCACCAAAGAAAAAATGGAACTACACATCAAAAATAAAAGGTATTAGAGTATGACACATTTCCCTTATGGATAGTATTACATGCCTAATCTGAATCCAAAATACTTCTTGTACCACTCAATCTTGTACTATGACTTAAGGGTGTTCTCCTAGTACTATTGAACAGTGGTTTGATTGCTTTAGGCAGGTCATTGCACTGTTTGCAATGTTCTAGGAGCAGAGTAGCTATAATGCCTAATTTAACTTCCACCTGAACATCTGCCCAGTATCACCATGCTTTTCTGTACTCAAGTTTGAAGGACTTCTTCAAAAAAGATAAGGCAATGTCCTTAAGGAATTATGGTTTTCTGCCTAATAGATATTTGCACATTCTCATGTTTTTACATTGTGTTTTCACTGACCAAGTCCTGTTCAAATTGGCAATATAGTGATCACTTTCTCTGTTTACTTCAGCCTTTCTCCATACTTTTGTGAGCTGGGGCATGACTTCTCCCATTTCTTCTGCCTTTCAAAGCAAAAGATGGAATTTTTTCATGTTCATATTCATGTTCTTCTAATACACATAACTTAGTAACAATTCCACTATTCTGAAAACACTATTTATTTTCATAATGGTTAAAATACCACTGAAAATAAGTCTTGCATACTATATATATTGCAGGAAAAGGAAAAAATAACCTTCCAATTCACACTAGATTAACTAGAACTTTAAAAGCTTCTCCTCAAAATTTCAAAATTTTTTGTAGCTGTACAACAGCACAGCTACAACACAGTACTGAACACCGTCACATCAAGAGCGCTTGACAGCAACATCTCATTTTCATCACACTCTTTTAAACAAACACTGTGGAGGAAGCCCAGTCCTCTGACAGGCTCCCTCCCTGGAAATCTGCCCCAAGATAAGACAAAACCACTTAGTCATGGTGACTAAGCTGTGGACCCCTTCTTGATTCAGGACCCTATGTTATCTCCCTGTTAACAACTGGGCATCTTGTCCTGGTCTCAGACCGCTGGCCCCTTTTCCAATTCTTCCTTTCCTGATAAAAACCCCGGTTTTTGCCCAGATCAGGAGTAGATCACTGAAGTCTGCATTAAAGAACTCCTGTGGAATACCATATGGTCTCCTGTCTCTTGTCTATGTGTAGCTGTGGTAACCCATGAGTGGAGCTGGCTGGGCTGATCTGAGCTGATCATGGCAAGATCAGAAATCATTTCTAAAACAGCTGATCACTGGAAGCCTCAGGCCAAGGTCCTAAGGATTACCCCTGGCTGGAAACTGCCTGGAACTCCCCAGACAGCGGCTCCTCCCTGGGATGTCTATCTGGGATTGTTGCTGGCAGAGCTGGGGGTCGGACAGACACCCAGACCCAGCCTCAACGGAACTCCACGTTGGAAACTTGAAACCACCTGGGTCCTGGGACAGAGCATCATCCTGCAGAGCACAGCCTCAGAACTGAAGCACCGTTCAGATCCTCACCCCTCTGAAGACACCTTCTCTGTCACAGAGTATCCAACAAGGCAGTTCCAACACCTTTGCAGTCACCACCTGGGAGAAGAAACCCCAAGGACTGGAATAAAAGCCGAGCACCCACTCAGCAGTTTTATTTTCACCCAACCAGCTGAGAGTTGTAAGTTAACCCAGCATTTTTCTGCACACTGCTTTATTTCCCTGGGCCTTTTTGGGTTTCTTTTCCTCTTTTTTCTGCTGGGCTGGGACCTGGACTACCAGTGTGGGGTTAAAACTACAGAAGTTTCAGTGATCCCAGCTGAGAGAGACCTATACTCCCAAATTCTACAAATCATATCTGCTAACAGTTTCTCTTTCTCTAAAAGAAGTCTCTCTAAAGCGAACCTAAAAGCATTTATTCACTGGATTTCTAAGCATTTCCTTGACTCTAAACGAACAGTCTGTCTGTCTCAACTCTTCCTCGGATAGTGTAGGGATCAAAATCTATGTCTGTCAAGTTAACGGAGATC